AGCATCTGCTTGCACCTGTGCTAAGCCTCCTTTGACTCAGTGGGCCACTTCTTCATTTTCCAAGCCACATTCATAGTGTCATATGCCTTTCCATTCAAAACCATCCTATATATTAAAAGCCCAGTGACTGAATGGCAGAATGACTGGTTGGCCAGTGGCTATGTCACACACTGACCACTAGGGGGCAGAAGCTCAGTGCAAGAGCAACCCCCTGGTGGTCAGAGAGCTACCACAGTGGGAGCATCACTCAGATGACGGGGATGAGTGGCTACTCCTGCTGTGAATCCCTGGCCCTCGGACAGGAACCTGGGCTGTGATCTTTGCCTTCTTGCTCCAGCTCCTCCTCCTCTCTCCCTGCTGCCTCCTCCGGATGCTCACAGGCTGTGTAGTGCCACCGCTGGGTTTGCAGAGCTGACCTCGGAAGCTGGGAGGCGGGTTCAGAGGCTGGGAGGTAGGTTCATGGCTACTATAGGACTGAGACCTACTCTGCCCCCCTCTCAGTGCTATTGTCCCTGGGCCTGTCCCTGACCAGGTTCTCTGGAGAGGCGAGTGCTCTGGCTCCATAGAAGATGCTGGGCCAGGGGGAAGCTTCAGAGGGCAGGTCCACAGCCGCTCTGCTGACCTGGAAGAGCAGCGCTTCCCACAGGGGGCTGATGCCTGCAGGCCACGCTCGCACCAGTGCACAAATCCCGTGCACTGGGCCTCTAGTATGTCTATGTTTTTAAATAAATTATTTTCATGTACTAAAATTATTTTCTTTCTATCATTCATCTCTCTCTATAGATATCTACCTATCTATCAAATCTACTTTTTGAAGCATAGGAAACTTGAAATACAAAAGGCATTGGATAAAAATAAACATAAGTAAAAGTTCTAATATGTTCCTTCTGATCATCCGTGGATCGTTGTGTTGCCATTTCCCTTCCCCAAAAGAACCGTGTTTACTGTTAGGAGAATAAATTCCAAATATCGTAATTTTATTTGTTAGAGCCATGTCTTTATTCCTGTTGCTACTAGTCTTGTTCAGATTAAAATATTCACTTAATCTTTATACTTATTAAAATTTGTTTGCACAACCTGTATTAGTCAGGGTTCTCCAGAGAAACGGATGTATATCTAAACAGGTCTATGTCTACGTCCACGTCTATGTCTATCTATGTCTATGTCTGTATCTATCTATCTATCTATCTATCTATCTATCTATCATCTATATCTGTTTATTGAGAGATGACGAATTAAGGTTTATATTAAGGAACTGGCTCATGTGATTGTGGAAACTGGCAAATCTGAGAACTTCAGGGCAGGCCATCGACTGGAAGCTGAGGTGGGATTTTTATGTTATCACCTGTGGGTAGAATTGCTTCTCCTTTGAGGGGCGTCAACCACGTTGTGGAAGGTAATCTGCTTTACTCAAAGCTTCCTGATTTAAAGGTTATGTCTAAAAGAATACCATCATAGCAACATCTAGAGTCTGACGGATGTTTGACCAAACAGCTGGGCACTGTAGACTAGCCACGTTGGCACATAAAATGAACCATGTCGTGATTTTTCAGCTGGAACTTTTGTAATCCTAGCTTACCTCCAGACTCCCAGCTCTCACGCTTCCAGTTCACTTCCTCACTGCCAGAAGGACCTTTGAAGGAAAGACATTGGTATAGGGAGTTTGGATCTGCACAGCATAAGTAATAATAATATTCACTGCAATATTATTTTAGTGATTTCCAAAACACAGTCATGATAAGATTTAAGGCTCTGTGCAATCTGAACCCCTCTAGCTTTCCAGCCTCATCTTTCCTGTTGCTGTCAGCCTTATGCACCCTTTAGTTACCCACAAGCTACTCTTAGTTGTTCAAAAGCTCTGACGATTTTTTTGTATCTACATGGCTATGCTTTATGGAACAGAGCAACACTAATTTAAGGCAAAATACAAGATGATAGGAATAAAGAAGGGATTGTGGGAGAGCAGAAATTGATGTGAACAACTCAAGGCTTTGAGATCTGAAAAGCTTTCACTAAGGTGAGGAAAGGGTGAGATGGACGGTGTTTGGGCTGAATTGCGCTCCCCCCCCCCCCCCCCCCCCCCCGGCCCTATTCATATGTTGAAGTCTTAACTCTTAGTACATCAGAAGGTGACCATATTTAGAGACAGGATCTTTGTGGAGCTAATTAGGTTAAAATGAGAAATGAGGTTGTTAGGATGGGCCCTAATCCAGTATGACTGGTGTCCTTATAGAAAGAGGAAATGTGGACATGTACTAGTATATGCCCAGAGAAAAGATGATATGAGGACACAAGGAAAAGGCACCCATGTAAAAGCCAAGGAGAGAGGCCTCAGAGAAACCAAACCTGTGGACACCGTGATCTTGGACTCCAGCCCCCAGAACTGTGAGAACACAAATATTGGTTGTTTGCACCACCCAATCTGTGCTGCTTTGTCATGGTAGCCCTAGCAGACAGGCACAGTGAGGAAGAGCGTGGGGAGCACAGGGTGAGCTAACGCTGACAGACAATCAGTTGTAGAGTGTTATGTTTGTGGATTGTGCAGCTGAGTTACTACTACATATAATTAAATACATACTAGGTTACAGCTCGTTTCCAGAATGTGTCAGACATTTGCTTGGTAATTGAATTAACCATCTGTACTGCCAACATGACTGATAACTGTTGATATAGACATTGATCACCCGGCTCAGGTAGTACAATATTTGTCAGATTTCTCCACTGAAAAGTTACTCTTCTGTATTATACTCTTTTAATACTCTCTTATCCAATATTATGTTTTTATTGATTTTGAGAGAGACAAAGGGGGTGGGGAGAAGGGGGAGAGAGAGAGAGACAGACAGACAGACAGACAGACAGACAGACATTTACCGGTTGCCTTCTATATGCACCCATTTGGGGATTAAACCTGCAACCTTTTGGTGTATGGGACAAGCCACCTAATCAGGGCTGTACTACACTCTTGGAAATGAAGTCACCATGTGCAGCACATACTTATGGAGTGGTAAACACAAAAAAATGTATACCATACTTTGTAGAGTTGGTGTGTGTGATGATTTTGCTGGATTGTGAAGGGTGACAAAAAAGAAGAAGAAAAAAAAAGAGACTGTGCTTTTTTGGTTTATTTGTTTTGTATCAGAAAGAAACACCCCATAATGTGGCTGTGAGAAGTAAGAAAAATGTTGATTTGAACTTTGTAATTCGTCGAATAAAATTAGATTTCAACCTTGGGCTTTCTTTGTTGATTTAACTAAGGCAGTCAGTTCTTATCTACACCTCTGTGCACTTATCTGTACCACTGGGACTGCTATGCTATTGTTGCAGCCAGAGAAGGAAAGATTAAAATTGGTTGGTCTTTCATTATTAACTGAAAGGTTATAAAACCTTGTTTTCTTAAAGGCAGTGCCTTGACAGTTAAATTTATTGGGCAGTCATAATCCTCGTGGATTTTTCAGAGCCTGACCTACCCTTGTCTTGGGTAGTCTTTTCCTAGGCTACCATTTCTATTACATACGCAGAAGGGGCCATTACCTCCCTCTAGTGGTCAGCTTTATAATTTCAGAATCTTGGACAAATTTAGCAGGAAAAAACCCCCACCAAATTTGTGGCAATCCTCATGATAATGTTCCGTAATATTTTAATATGGATGCTAAAATGACATGGAGATTGAATTGTAGCTACGTCTTTTTGGATTAGAACTAATTTTTAAACGAGGCAGTGTTTTAAGGTGATAAGTAATTATGATTAAAAGCTAGTGTGACGAAGATAGTATTCTAGGCAGAGGCTTACCTAGGTACTATTATATTAAAAACCTCAGTGGCCATTTAATTTTAGCCAGGGAATTGAATTTGGCTTCTTGCAAGTGTTTTATCAGGGCTGTAGGAACAAGTGCATATTCTAGATAAACTTGAAAGCTACAGAGCTTTATGAGACCAGGAGTGAGGGAGTCCTCTTGAGCATTGTTTGTCATTCCTTCAGAGATTAAACTTTATCTCCAGTGCTGGAAATGGCCTTCTTTTAGAGCTCCACATCAGCATTTTTTATTTTATCATGGCTTTAAACAAATGCAGTATTTTTTATTTTATTTTATTTTATTTTATTTTTTATAGGATCCTATCTCTGGATATGCTTAGGGTGGAGAACCTTTTTTTCTGCCAAGGGCCATTTGGATATTTATAACATTATTCATGGACCATACAAAATTCTCAATTTAAAAATTAGCTTGCTACATTTTGTCAGACGTATAATTAAATCACCCCTAATGCCTTGGCAGGGCCAGACCAAATTATTTCATGGGCCTTATGTGGCCCTCGGGCCAGACGTTCCCCACCCCTGGCTTAGAAGGTTGAAATAATTTACCAGAATTTGAGACAGGCTTTGCCTTATTCTTTAAAAAAATATATATTTTATTGATTTTTTGCAGAGAGGAAGAGAGAGAGATAGAGAGTTAGAAACATTGATGAGAGAATCATGGATCAGCTGCCTCTTGCACACCCCCTACTGGGGATGTGCCCACAACCAAGGTACATGCCCTTGATTGGAACTGAACCTGAGACCTTTCAGTCCGCAGGCCAGCACTCTATACACTGAGCCAAACCAGTTTTGGCAGCCTTATTCTTGATGGAAATACTGCAGGTACTCATGCTTTGAGTGAGTCCTGGTGTTTGTTCCATCGAGATCCAGAGGGTATGACATGTAAAGAAGGGCAACTAAACCAATGGGACATTTGCCAGTCTCCTTCGATGTGGTCCTGATTAGGACTGAAGCACAACTGGAGAGGCAGCAAGCCACTAAGCATTGCTTCTGCTCAGAAAGAAGAAGGAAGAAATTCCTGCAGGGGAATTACTGTGTTAAAGCAGTAATCCGTTTGTGTCTCTTGGTGATACTCCTGTTGCTTATGACACCATATACACATAGTTCCAGAAAGCTGACCTGTCTGTGTTCTTCTCTATGTGGGCACATGAAGTAACGAGGTCACCTGTCTGTTGTTGCTCACCCAGCTGCATCTGATCCACTGGAACTCCACCCTGTTCGGCAGTATTGATGAGGCTGTGGGGAAGCCACATGGAATCGCCATCATTGCTTTGTTTGTTCAGGTAAGTGGTCTCCTATGATTGTTGAATTGTTCAAATGCTTGTTTCCAATTCATTTTGCAAGATATATGTATATATATATATATATTTACAAAATGATCACCATGGTATGTCTCTAATAACTATCTGTCACCACACAAATGTTTACAGTAAAATTAACTAAATATCCCCGTGCTGTATCTTGTACCCTTCTTATTTATTTTATAGCTGGAAGAGTGTACCTCTTAATCTCCTTCACCTATTTTGCCCACACCTACACCCACCCCCCACCCCCTGACAACCACCAGTTTGTTCTCTGTTTTTGTTTTATTTGTTTGTTTTAGATTCCACATATATTTTATTCAGCATAATACCCTCTATGTCTATCCATGTTCTTGCCAATGGCAAGATTTCATTCTTTTTAAAAAAGATATATATTTTTTATTAATTTCAGAGATGAAGGGAGAGAGAGAGAGATAGAAACATCAACAATGAAAAAAAAAAAGATTTATCGGCTGCCTCCTGCATGCCCCACACTGGGGATCCAGCCCGCAACCTGGGCTTATACCCTTGACTGGGAATTGAATTGCAACCTTCTGGTTCATAGATTGACACTCAACTACTGAGCTATGCCAGCTGGGCAAGATTGAATTCTTTTTTATGGCTGAGTAATATCCCGTGTGTGTGTGTTTAATATATAAGACATCTTCTTTATCCATTCAGCTATCAATAGCCACTTAGTTTGCTTCCATATTTTTGCTATTGTAAAGAAAGTTGCTATAAAATTAGGGGTGCATATCTTTCCTAATTAGTGTTTTCATTTTTTGGATATATACCCAGAAGTGGAATTGCTAGATCATATAATAGTTCTATTTTTAACATTTTGAGGAACTTCCATGCTGTTTTCTATATTGGTTGCACTAATTTACAGTCTCACCAAGTGTTCCTTTTTGTCCACATTCTTGCCAATACTTGTTATGTATTATCTTTTAGATAATAGCCATTCTGACAGGTGTGAGGTAATATCTCATTGTGGTTTTGATCTGATGATTAGTGATGTTGAGCATCTTTTCATTTATCTATTGGCTATGGGTCTGCCATCTTTGGAAAAATGCCTATTTAGATAATTTTTCCCTTATTTTGATCAGATTGGCTTTTTATATTGAGTTGTATATGTTCTTTACATATTTTACACACTTAACACCTTATTGGATATATTTGCAAACATCTCCTATTCAGTAGATTGACTTTTAGTTTTGTTGATGGTTTCCTTCACTGTGCAAAAAGGTTTTAGTTGAATATATTCCCATTTGTTTATTTTTGCTTTTGTTGCCCTCATCTAAGGCGACAGATAAACACACACACACACATACATAAAACAGTGCTAAGACTAATGTCAAAGAGTCTATTGACTATGTTTCTTCTAGGAGTTTTATGGTTTCATGTCTTTTAAGTCTTTAATTCATTTTGGATTTATTTTTGTATATAGTATAATAAAGTGGTTCAGTCTTATTCTTCTGCATGTAGCTGTCCAATTTTCCCAACAATGTCTATTGAAGGGACTGTCTTTTTTCCATTGTATATTCTTGCCTTCTTTGTTGTAGATTAATTGACCATATATGTGGGTTTATTTTTGAGCTTGCTACACTGTCCCTTTAGTCTGTGTCTGTTTTGGTATGAGTATCATACTTTTTTGATTACTATAGCTTTGTAGTATACTTTGAAATTAGGAAGCATGATATCTCTTAGCTTTGTTATCTTTTCTCAATATTGCTATGGCTATTTGGGGTCTTTTGTAGATTTTTTTGTTTGTGGGAGGAGATGAGCTCAGGTTTTTTTCTATACTGCCATCTTGAATTGGAGCCCAGAGTATTTGCTGGTCTCCCTTAAATTTAATAGTGGTGACATTAAACACAAATACAGAGAACACTGACAATTTAAAAGTAGGAAACTTGGTCTTTGTGGGTCATGAGAGAGCAGCCATATTCATTAGTAGAAACTGGTTCATTTACTTGTTAGACATTTTCTTCAGAGTGCCATTGAGGGACTTTGGAGAAATGACTTAGAAAATGTGTTCTGAAAGCAGAATTCCTTTTATTAATGAAAAAGAATTTGAAAATATTTTTGGAGTCTGGCTTATTGCAAAATCTAAGAAAAATCAATAATGTAATTCTGTAGTGGATTTCTTTTGTTCTTTGCTATTAATAATTTTCACTCAAAGATAATTTGAAGTGCCTTATAGAAAACATGAACAAAATAAGACTGGCAAAGACCTTGATAGATACAGTCAATATAAAGTTTGGATTTGATCTCTCTAGCGGACAAAGGATATTATATAAATTTAGTGAAATGTACAAAAGCGAACCAAAAGGTAAAAATTTAATTGAAGATGAATGATGGCCAGAGGGAAGGAGGGGCAGGGGCAGTAGGCAAAGTGGGATGTGGCAGTGGGGACATGTGTAGTTGTGTCAAAAATAAAAATACAAAAATAAAGTTATAAAAACAAAACAAAAAATACATCCTCCAAATGAATCTAATTCCTAAGATGAATCTTTTTAATATTGTCTTATTATAAACGTGATGTGAAAAAAGACTTGGGAGGTGAAGGAAACTCTGAATATTTTAGGCTTCTTCCTCCTTTATCTTACAGAAGAGAAATAAAGGGCCAGAGAGGTCAAGTTATTTTTTTATAATCACATAGCGATTTAATGTCACCAGTCAGCACCAGAAATCATTCTTCCACTCTGTTATTTCAGTGTCTCATTCTTTAAAAAATAAAAATAGGAATACAAGTGACCAAATGATCATATATGGAAGGGACAATTAGAGCATTGGGTGGAAAGCAAAGACCTTTGAAACCAGCGTGAGTATTTCCAGGAACAAGATCCATGTTGGAGGCCAGGGGAAGTGTGAGAGTATGCACACTTGTCCTACCTTTCCATATGTGTACATAGATTGTTTGCTCTGAAGAGAAATTCTGGTTATCGCTGTGACAGAGCCTTTTAGGTGTGTGAGGGTTCAGGGTTCAGGTTCAGGGTTCTGGTTCTGGAGGAGGCCACACACAAATGAGAGACTAGACAAGAAAATATAAATTTGGCATTTGGGGGCCAGGCGGTATTCCAGTTTTGGATACACCCATAGCCCTTAGGCAGGCAATTCCAATAATAGCCAGTCAGCAAGGATTTACATAAAGCTAAAAGGTGGAAGTTGCTTCAGCTCCCATTGTCTCAGCTAAACAGTGGGTGCAGAGCTCTGACCTTTCAGAGCTTCAAGGTTCACCAGCCTTGTCAACACCCCTCTGCTAGTGAAGACAATGGGCGGCTTCCAACACGGGAGAAAGTAAAATTACACAAACTTGAAAGCAAAATTTCATGAAGGAGAGGATTGATGAGGAATGTCAGTTGGAGCGGAGAGGAGAGAGACTGTAGTTCACCCAGGGTGTCACACTTGGGTGAGAAAATGGGGACAGGGGGACTCAAGGCAGTGAGTATAAATGTCCCTTTCAAGGAGCTTGACTCAAGAAAAGAAAGACAAAAGGGAGAATAACAGGGGGATGCACAGTGAAAGCCTGTTTGTTTCCTTTTTGAGATCTGAGATTTGCCTGTGTTTTTACTCTGAGCAAAATGAGGTAATTAGGGTGTAAGGTTTAAATATACCAGCAAGAAAGGGGATAATGGACATAGGAAAGTCCTGGAGGGGGCAGGAGGGCATGGGGTGGAGAGCATATGGCATATATGTATGGAATAACCTTGGGTAACCACCCTTTATTCAAAATAGAGGCCCAGGAGGAAGAGGTGGGTAGAGAGGGGATGAATTTGGAGGTGGAAAAGGAAAGAAATTAGGGAAGTTCATGCCTGATGACCTTTATTATCTCTAAGAAAGGAAAGCAAAATTATTTATAGAGCAAAGGAAATGTGGGTTTGGAGTTGGGTTTTGGAATAGTCCAGAAGAAGAATGATAATATGAAGTTGACAGTTGGTGTGGGAGACCCACATGAGCCTGGTTATCTCAGATTGTACAGATTGTTCTCCATCCAGGTAGAGGAGCAGAGGATTCTAGCAAATTGTTCCACTGACCCATTGCCTAGCAGATGACTCAGGACAAAAGAATTAGATAATGGAGAGTGTTTGCAGAGCTGCCATTCGGTGTAGGCAGGGAGGGAAGGAGACAAAGCCAAGAGTCTCCTGAGAGTTGGGTCCTTGTGCTCCATTCATGGGAAGAGAGGCAGGAGGGGAGAGCTGGACAGGTGAGTTTTCAGAGTGAAAACAAATCCAGGGTGTGTTCCCGGGATGGTTTGCAGAGGTAGGATGGGGCTGAGGGTAAAGAGACATGCCAGGAGGGGACGGGCCACTAACATGGATGAGGAAGGCCTCCAGAGTGATGGCAGGGGGTGATGACTGCGAGGGAGTGACCAGTGTGTCAGTAAATGACAAGAAGAACATGATAGCAGCAAGGGTGGATGGTCCACTCAGATGGCCTTATGCATGTGGGTCTGAGTACCGATCTGACGGTAACAGCAGGGCACTGACCACAGCTTTCAGTCTTATGGGAGGGAGCCTGCACGGTGTCCACTCTACGCCTGGGAGAGCTGTGGGCGTCCACATAGTTCAGGAGGTGGTAGAAGAGCTTGGCGAAGATGTGTAATTATCCTGACTCAGAGGGCATAGTGGAAAATGAGGGGAGCTGGAAAAATATAAGGCAATGTAGAGCTGGAATTCTAGGAGAGGAACGTGGCCAGAGGGCTTGCATTTGGGGTGGTGGTGAAAGATGGCAAAGGTGAGAGGTCAGAAGTGAATTGTTCTCACAGCTCCTGGTGGATTCCTGTAGGATTTTAGGAGCTGGTGGCATGCAGAGTGTCATCGATACTTGCTTTTTGGTGCTTGTAACCTCTGTAGACAAAACTTTGGCAGAGAAGGAAAGAGAAGAGATGGAATAGTAGCTCCAGTTTGGCTAGATACAAAGCTTTACCCACAAAATGAAGAAGCTTTATAGACAGAAGGAACCAGTAATAGCTATTGAGCGCTGTTATATGTAAGAACTTCCTTGATACTGACTGTCTGGTTTTCTGAGTAAGAACAACACGGGTGGTATTAATTGACTTACATTGCACTATGCCCTGTTCTAAGGTATCTGTTTGATTTAGTCTTATCTTCAACCCCATCGCTTTTGTCCTCCACACTGTATAGGTGAGGCATAGAGGTTAAGCCAACTTGTTCAAGGCTGGAAAGTGAGTCAGAACCAGAACCCAGGCATCCAGCCCACATGACCTTGCTTTATGTGGCCCTACACCATTCACATGCGGACTCTTCGTAGTTATCATGTGACAGAGGCGCAGGAAATGAAAACAGACCCCCAAGTCTAGGCAGACATCCAAATGCTGCACCACGGTTAAACCAATAAAACAAAACAGGGCCCAGGTTGGCTTTTGCACTCAGGACCACAGTTGCATTAGGTATTTCTTCCCTCAGAGAATTTATTTTCTGTTTTTAGAGCCTACCTCAGGCAGGGCAAACACTTGGAAAACAAAGTCTTGATTATTGTTAACTGATTGGCATGTCTTAGATTGTGCAGATTTCTTCTCTCTTTCCTCCAAGATGCCTTTCCACTAGCATGTTTCACAACTGGGTCACATAGACAGAAACAGAGACTACAGATAGTGTGATAGCTATTCTGGCGCCTTCAAGGCCATTCCCTAAAAACTTATGTGGAAGGAAAAAGGCGAACAATAGCAATGATTATCTGAGGTTATCAATCCTCTCCCCTGTCACTGTGCTCCATTATCCTGGTTGAAAAATGGAAATCAGATTGCACTTATCATTTTTATTTTTAAAATATATTTTATTGATTTTTTACAGAGAGGAAGGGAGAGGAATAGAGAGCTAGAAACAATGATGAGAGAGAAACATCAACCAGCTGCCTCCTGCACCCCCCCCCCCCCCCCCCCCCCCCGGGGATGTGCCCGCAACCAATGTACATGCCTTTGACCAGAATCAAACCTGGGACCTTTCAGTCCGCAGACCGAAGCTCTATCGACTGAGCCAAACTGGTTTCAACACACTTATCATTTTTAAATGTAAAGTCAAGAATACTTAATGTAACACTTTTTTTTTTTTTTTAAGTCTCAAATTCCGCCGAAACCGGTTTAGCTCAATGGATAGAGCGTCGGCTTGGGGACTGAAGGGTCCCGGGTTCGATTCCAGGCAAGGGCATGTACCTTGGTTGCGGGCATATCCCCAGTAGGGGGTGTGCAAGAGGCAGCTGATCGATGACTCTCTCTCATCGATGTTTCTAGCTCTCATCTCTCTCCCTTCCTCTCTGTACAAAATCAATAAAATATATTTAAAAAAAAAAGTCTCAAATTCCTTGGAGCATTGCATACAAGCAAAATATGTCACGATATATAATATTTTAAAACAGAAAGTCATAAACAGCATATTATTATTTGAGAATACAAAGGTGATTCTAGAAATTATGTGCGGTTGTCATCAAGAAATGTCCTGATAGCGGTGACTTTAGCCTATCAAAGCACATATCCACTTTTCTGAGTTAATGACATTTTTCAGCATTGATGAAATCTTTATAATAATGGTCTAGACATGTCAGATGTAAAAATGGGAAGGTTTGGACATGTGATAAGTAATTTTGATTCAGAAGCATCCTTGAGACTGTTGTATTGCTGTGTTAGATGATTTGACATATTTGTAGCCTTGTACACAGCATGATGAATTTAGATGGGTTCTTGGAAACATCCAAGAACATATCTAATATTTGATTGTGCTATAGCTTCTGTTACAGCATCAGTGACCTTCAGTGAATGTTGACCTGGTTATTCATGAAAACGCCATTGATTTATTCCCCAAGAAGGAAATTCAGGTGGACTTGATCCTCGCTTCTATAATTAGTTATTTTGAGCAAAAGCTGAGTATTTAATAGGCTTGTGGTTAATGGCATTTGCTCTATGTATTTCAGATAGGAAAAGAGCATGTGGGCCTAAAGGCTGTGACCGAAATACTCCAGGATATTCAGTATAAGGTAAGTCCCTGTTTTAAAGGAAATAAAACTCCTGGTTGTATAAGAGGCCAGTCCCCAAAGGCCACCCTCAGGCTGGAGGACTCAGCAAAAGGACTCACCGAAAAGCTGTTATTCTCATGGCTGTGGTCTAATGCAGCGGAAGGAAACAGATGAAAACCCGGTGCAGTGAAAGGCTCATGGGCATAAGACAGGAGAAAGCAGGCACAGTTTTCGGGTGGAGTGGCATGGGACACCCCATTCTCCCAGCAGTGATGTGGCCTAACACGTGTGAGGTATTTGCCAACCAGAGAACCTTACTTGACCTTGGTGTCTAGGGTCTGCATGCTTGCATGACTGACCTCAGACACTCTGACCCCAGCCCTCCCATCCTGTCCCTCTACTGAACTAGACATTCCTCATAAATCACTTGATTAGGACCAACTTATCTGGTCAAACTGGTACAACATGGGCCAAGGCCTCTGGCACACCCAACACTCTCTAAGGCAGAATAGTCCAGGGGCTCAGAGATGGTCAGCCAAGAGCCAGCCAAGGGCCGTTTTTTTTTGGTTTTTTTTTTTTACAGATATTTCTTTAAAAAATATTTTTTGAAAAAAAATGTGTTGTTGTTTTACTTTCCCATTACAGTTGACATTTAATATTATATTAACAAGGGCCAGGCTTGAAGACAGGCCATTTTTTTGAAATGTGAAGATTTGAGCAACCCAGGCCTGCTGGGTGAGCACTTTCTGCCCATTGGTTATAGGAAAGTTGTGTAAACAAAACGAATAAAAACTATGGCAACCTTACTTCACAGTACTTCTGTACACACACACACAAACCCACCCACACACACAAAAAAAAAAGAAAAAAAAGAAAAAGAAAAACAAGTACACATAAGCGATAGGATAATGTATTCACAGAAGGTGATGAAGATTGGTTTGACCCTGCAGTAACTCAGCCTAGCATTGCTGGGAAGCCAAGTTCTATTATAAACAGTACCTTTATGCTTCCATTAAGTCAATAGAATCTCAGTGACCTTGGAGGCGACCCAAAGCCAATTCTGAAACCCATCTGGGAATGAAGTCTGATTAGCTCTACGCTAGCACAAGCCCATTGCATCTTAAGCCAGACAAGAGCCTCTAACAGAGAGATCTGAGCACCTCAGAAGGAATTCAGGTACCAAGAGAAAGCACTGCGTAGTCAAAGAAGCTGGTGAAAAAATGGTGTGAGGACACATTTTTGACTGACATTTGCCTGATAGAAATTAGATGGAGAAATTTTCCTTTATTTCTTCAGCTAATATGACAAAAGTCAGGAGGATGGTGGGAGGCAAGTAAGCTGGATTCTTTTTTTTTTTTTTTTTTAAAGTAAATATATTTTTATTGATTTTTAGAGAGAGGAAGGAAGAGGGAGAGAGAGAGAGAAACAACAGTGAGAGAGAAACATCAATCGGCTGCCTCTTGCATGCCCCACAATGGGGACTGAGCCCACAACCTGGGCATGTGCCCTGACTGGGAATCGAACCAGTAATCTCTTGGTTCACCAGCTGATGCTCAATCACTGAGCCATACTGGTTGGGCAAGCTGGATTCTTTAATGCGTCAAAGAGTCTCTAAAAGTAAGGAAGAGATGTAGAGGTTAGGCATTAACTTTCTCTGTTATGTCTCATTCACAGAGTAACCTTATAAGAGATATCCAATTGCCATGACATGTCTCTGTCTCAAAGGACTGAGCAATTTAAATAGCACTATTTATAATAATGGGTATTAATATGATTATTGAATAAGGGCACAAATATTTTCTTTTCCCCCCCTAAATATATTTTTATTGATTTCAGAGAGTAAGGGAGAGAGAAAGGGAAAGGGAAAGGGAGAGGGAGAGGGAGAGGGAGAGGGAGAGGGAGAGGGAGAGGGAGAGGGAGAGGGAGAGGGAGAGGGAGAGGGAGAGGGAGGGAGGGAGGGAGAGAGAGAGAGAGAGAGAGAGAGAGAGAGAGAGAGAGAGAGAGAAATATCTCTGATGAGAGAGAATCATTGATTGGTTGCCTCCTGCACACCCCTTCCTGGAGATCGAGCCTGCAACCTGGGCATATGCCTTGACCAGGAATCGAACCTTGAACTCTTGGTTCTTCAGTTGACATTCAACCACTGAGCCACTCTGGACACAAATATTTTATTTGAAAATGAAATTTAGCTTTGATAAAATTGGTTTGAAAGAGAATGTTTTCATGTGAGTGTCAGATTCCCTCTCTGGAGGAGATATTTGAGAGCTGAAATACCAAGTCCAAATGGAACAAAATAAGCATTTGGGAGGCAGGTTGTGATGCCAAGATCAAGGACCAGGAGGAAAGTCAAGTCAAAATAATTACCTGAGCCAGGGTTCAGGCATTTTACTCTGAGGCCCAAGTATGCATGTTCTAGGAGCAGGAAAAGTAGGTGACAGGGGACGGACAGACACTAAATAGACAATTGTACATTTCACACCAAAAATTACAGGGAAAACGACTGTGGTAGAAAAGAAAATGGCATAGATTCAGAGTAGGAGTGTCTTGTTGGACCCAGCCACTACTGTTCCAATGAGAAGAAAGAATGAGACACAAATCTATGCGGTCCAATGATGTCATTTAGAAAAGATGTCAACTGGGATTCTTCAGTGCTAATAACTCTTTTATTGTAAAATTAAGAAATTTTATGTTAACCAGAGATAATTTTTATTTTTATTTTTTAGGGGAAGTCCAAAATAATACCCTGCTTTAATCCTAACACTTTATTACCAGGTAAGTATACATGGATAGATTGTATAAAGGTGAATTTTAACTATGGATATGCCTTCATTGCTTTCCTCAGAATATATAACTATGTATTACTCTAGTTAATAAAGGCTCTTTACAATATATATACTAGTATTCTCTGTGGTAAGTACCCCTTACCTAAACACGAGAGTAAACCTTTTGAGATAACAAATACTTTACCACTAGTTTCATTAATCATGCAGGGTTTCCTTTTTGTAAAAATTGCTACCTCTATGTAAGCACCAGCATAACAAGTAACCTTGTTATACTTCTAGAATTGATCAGTGAAGTTTTTATTAATCTATACTGAAATAAACTTGACACCTAATTTTATAAGGTATCTTTTTGCAATGATATGTATCTGTTAATTCTGATTATTTAGGTCTGCCCTAAATAGGTAGGGATTGTGTATAAAATACTCAGAATATAATTTGTAGTTAAAGGCTATTTTGTACAAAATTTTGGTCTTTATAAATCTCTACCCAAATTATGTGACATTTCTTGGTGTTTCAAATGTAACCATATAGGTCGATGCATCATATCTTCTGCTTTTTACATTTAATTGCTCTACAACAAACCAAACATTTACCCATCATATTCAGTAGTGAATTTCTCTAATATAGTGCTAAAGATTTCCATAAGAATAGTTTCTTTTATCCTATCATAATATGCTTTTAAAAATTTGTTGTTAAAGAAGCAGTACTGATAGAAGAAGCCAGAGCAGAATGGTTAAAAACACCGGCTTTGAAGCCAGAATGCTTTGGTTGGAATCCTGGCTCTGCCAGGTATTAGCCCTATGACTTTGGGCAAATTATATATGTAACCCTTTGTGATTCAATTTCCCCATCTGACAAATGGAGCTAGGCATAGGAACTATCTCATTGGTGTTTTGTAAGGGTTAAATGAGTTAATGTTGAATAGTTCCTCCCATGTAGCAAGCTTTCAATAAATATTAGGTGTAATTAGCTAAGTCCTCCACTAAAGTAAAAAAAAAACAACAACACATAAAAAACAAAAAACAACTATGGGTACACTTTTGCTAAAGTGACTAAATTTTACATATATATATATATATATATATATATATATATATATACACACACACACACACACACACACACACACACTTCAAGTGTATATGTATTAAGTTTATATAGTACATTTGGATATACAAAATAAACCACTGATAGAATAAACCACTATAAATAATAGAGGACTCATTGTGTTTTCCATCAATTATTTTCTTTATGATGATTAGTTAAGAACACATATGGGGGTCTAGTTTAAAAATGACATCAGTCTGAGAAGTGTTATTTGGACAGTTTGTAGCTTTGAAAATTATTGTTGGAGTCTCAAAATTATGATGCATTAATTTGCCTTTGTGTGTCATGTCCACGTGGTTGCACAGATCCTCTGCTCCGTGACTATTGGGTGTACGAAGGCTCGCTCACAATTCCACCTTGCAGTGAGGGTGTCACCTGGATATTATTCCGATACCCTTTAACCATATCCCAGCTACAGGTGAGTGCGGCACCTTACGTCTTTTTAGAGTGAAGTTCTGAGTTAAAAGGTTACATTTTGTTCCTGTAAAAGGGAAATGTCGGTTTTATGTTTTAACTCTCCTTAGATCAGTTACTTCTTTGCAGATGAAAGTTAAATGGCTCGAACTTGTGAAAGCAATTGAAAGGTCAAGGATGAACAAAACCCAGCCATCCTTTATGATCTGTATTTTAAAAGTCCGTTTTTATGGAGTAAATAGAAGTCGCTGAAATAGTCAAATTTTTTGATTAGTCTAGTTATTCTCTTATGGAGATTTTCTTAGTCATGGAGAGGAGAAAGGTCTTGAGAGTATAGTGAGAATGCTGGTTATTTCTGTAAGTCACATGTGGGCTTTGAAATAGCTCTTCTTATGCTAGCGCAGGACAAATATGTATGAAGAAGGATGAGGTATTGAGAAAGAATACCCTTGGGAAGTTCTGGATTGTTCTGTAGCCCCACTTTTGGTCACCTCCCTCCCCCACTGTAGGTGCTATAGATGCTAATGCACAGGGAAGTAACCTGCTGAAACATGAGGCAACATAACTATACTGTTTTTAAACAGGGACTTTGATCCTATCCAATAAAAGAGAAATATGCAATTTGACCATCACTCCAACACACAAGATGGCTTCTCCCATGTGGTCAAAGATGGCTGCCCCCATGTGGACACAAGGTGGCCGCCACAAGATGGCCAGCAGGGGAGGGCAGTTGTGGGCAACTGGGCCTGTAGGGAAGGGCAGTTGGGGCTAGGGGGAACCCAGGCTAGCAGGGTAGAGCAGTTGCAGGGGACCAGGCCTACAGAGGAGGGTAGTTGGGGGTAGACCCAGGCCTGCAGAGGAGGGCAGTTGAGGGGGACCAGGCCTGCAGGGGAGGGCAGTTAGGGGGAATCAGGCTAGTAGGGGAGCAGTTAGGTATCAATCAGCCTGGCAGGGGAGTGGTTAGGGGGTGATCAGGTTGGCAGGCAGAAGCAGTTAGGGGCAATCAAGAAGGAAGGCAGGCAGGCAAGCAGTTGGAAGCCAGAAGTCCTGGATTATAGAGGATGCAGGCTGCTGAGGAACCCCCCCTCCAATGCATGAATTTCATGCACCGGGCCTCTAGTATTATTATAAAAGAGGTACTTTATGTGTCTCCTATCCTCCAGGGATCGATGGGATCCCTGTTCTGTAAGGCTATATCTTCCCTTTGCAATGAACCTCAAAAGGCTTGAGCAGTTCTCTACAGCAAGCATGTCAAACTCGTGGCCCACAGACCACATGCCTTGTTTATTTGGCCCCTGTTAGCCTTTTGAGTTTGACATGCTTGCTGTACATAAGCCAAGTTTTTTTTAAATAATATTTTTTTTATATCCCTTGCCATTTTGTAAGTCCACATTAATTGAGTTTATTGTTGTAATTGAGTTTATGGTTGTAAATATTTAGAGTTTGAGATGTGTGTGAGACATCCAAGAAGGGGGTATACTGTATAAGTGGTGGTTGAAGCCATAGTGTAGGAGAGGAGAGAGAAGAAGTGGTGCAGAGAACTGAGACTGGCAGCCCCAAGGGGCACCCCTTGGAAGAGTCGCCCCCAAAGAAGGTTTGAGGATTTTGAAAGTCAGGAGGTTGATGCGATGCCAGGAGGCCGGGGGTGGGGGGTGGGGGTGGGGTAGGGAAAGACAGGGGGCAGGAGGGTGTGAAGTTCAAGAAGGAGGGAGTAGAGAGATGAAGAGTATCAGATTCTGAGCACACATTAGTTAAAGACGGAAAACTTTACTTGGATTTAGCCACAGGGGTAGATCTCAGACTTGGGGATGAGATCGAAGAAGCTTAGGGTCTACAGTCATGTATATTTAGGCATTACAGTTTTTGGTTAGGGGTAATTTTCTTTAAAACTGGTAAAAATTTTAGTGAAAAATAAAGTTTTCCTCTATAACACAACATTTCTATTTTTTTTTTTTTTTTTTACAACTAAGGGTTAACCTTGCTGAGCCACAAGAAAGAAAATTCTCAGTTTCGCTTAGAATTCCATTAAAGATTTCCTTACTAGTCTGGTGTTGGGGATGTTAATGTTGAGCTGTATTCTGAATGTTACCTGATGTTCTGTACACGTGAGATACAATGTTTTACTATCACGTTGACCAGTGTGCTATGCTAAACACCAGAGACAAATCATTGTGCCTTTGGGTCTCACTGGCTTCAAAGAAAACCTTGCTCAGTAACGTCCCTCTAAGTAAGGCCAGTGACAGTCTAACTCTAGCTCTCTGGGTCATGCTCCTCGATAAAGGGGAGCCTAAGCCAGTAATCTCACCTGCTCTGGGAAATAGATGACTTTTGCCTTGGTGGTTAGAGCATTGGCCTGTGCACTGAAGGGTCTCCGGTTCGATTCCCGGTTAAGGGCATGTACCTGGGTTGCAGGTCTGATTCCCACCCTTGGTAAGGGTGCTTGTGGGGGGCAACCAATTAACATGTCTCTGTCACATTGATGTTTCTCTCACTCCCCCTTGCCCTCTCCTCTTCCTTCTATCTCTAGAATCAAGGGAAAAAATATCCTCACTTCTTGAGTAACTTTTTTACTTCTTGAGTAAAAAAAAAAAAAAAAGAAGGAAAATTAATGACGTTGCAGTTACCTGTAGCTTTTCAAGAGAAAAAAATGTAGGTGCAGTTAGCTCAAAGCTCCCTATAGCATCTGTTCAGAGGGCAGCAATGTTAAAATGTGAACACACACACACACACACACACACACACACAGGCATGTATGTTAAAATGCAATTTGTAGTGATTTAGAAAAAAGTTATAATCTTAAGAGAATATACATCAGTCTGTTCTTGACTTAAATGTCTTACTGTTGCTGCTCATACAATTTCAGAGAAAGCAGAGCCAACATAGAAACAGTCTAGAGAAAACAGTGAAAATGAGCATCCGAACCAAGAAAAATTGAGGTCTCATATTATTGCACTTAAGAGCAGAAAAAGAGATAAAGATAGAATGAGAATTGATCCATAAGATAAAAGGAATGGCGAATGGCAGGTGGAGTGTCTACATCACATGTGTCAAACACAAGGCCCGCGGGCCAAATCCGTCCCGCCAGGCCTTGCAATGTGGCCCGCACCGTGCTGTCATCACTGCACTCCACTGCGTTTCCATCACAATGACAGTTTATGACTGTTCAGTAAACCATTCGGCCCGCAATTTAGGCTGGATTTTAGATTTTGGCCCCTTCTCTGATTGAGTTCGACACCCCTAGTCTACATAGCTGGTGATATTGAGAAATATGAAACTTTTATTGAGGAAAAAATGTTTCAACTCACATCATAGGGTTAACATGTGATTAACTGCTGAGTATTAGGATGGAAACAATTGCTCTCTCGAATACATAATCTGCCACAGGATAATAAGGCCTGTACCAGCCACATTACAGAGACAAGCTCCAAGTCATAATGCTTTCCTGTGAAGTGCACAGCAGCTGGATGCGAGGAGGAGTTTTCTGCTGAAGTGTACGGCTGACAATTCCACCCCTCGTGGAATGTTCCCATCTTCCTGAGAACCAGGAATTCTAGACTGTGGAACTGGAAGTGCCTGCTTAGTTGAAGTTTTCACATTACGTTCGGTTGGCATACCATAGGCAAAGGAAAACACACACAATTGGATGGATTTGAATGAGTGTAATTTTCTTTTTCTTTTTTTAAATGATCAATCTCCATTAAATGACTTTAAGCTAAACAGTGTTCTAAGCGTTAGGAAGCCAAAGTAAAAAAAAAAAAATTTTTTTTTTCAGTTCTATTGTTACATTTGGAAATGAGATGCCATGAACATACTAATGTATGCCGAACTGTGAGTGAATAGCCTAGTTGGTTCACGGGTCAGTGAAGTTTGGAATAAATGTCTTAACTTAGGTCAATTGGAGTACCACCCAGGTTCAGAGAACAGTGAGTATGCAGCCCTGCTGCCTTCAGAAGATGAGGATTTGTCTGTGAAGAGTGGGACCCCTCTTTTACATTGGTTAAAAACAAACGCCATGCTTAATTAAGTAGAGTGGCATTAAAAATCGACGAAATCACGCATACGGATATATATGATAAAGATAGTCTCTGTACTGCCTGGCCTTTGAATTTTGTTGAAGGCTTTTATCCTGGGGTATTATTTTTTAAATTTCTCACTACTCTCATTTCAGCGTGGGATAACGCAGTATGCACTTGAAACCATTTGAAGTGACTAAAGGGTTTGAGGGGCGGTTACTTCAGAAACATTGGCATTTCAGAAAGACGTGTTTTTCTCTGTTGATGTTTGAAGTCTTCAAAGTGTTGCTCTGATCAGAGAAAAGCATTTCTTGTGAAAGAGTTCTCTCCAGGAACACAGCGGTCTGAGACGGGCCCGCTGTTGATTCAGATCCTCTCGTCTAGGAGCTGTTCTCACTGAAGGTGTGCAGGGGAGGCCTGCAGCTTGAAAGGCTTATCTTCAGTTCACTATTCGTAAATACAAAGTTAACCTCACTTTAAAATAAGCTTCAAAGCCCATGAAAGTGGAGAATTCTTTAAAAGGTGTTGAAGCAGTCCAGTTTCTAGTCCACGTTGCTCATCGGGGACCCTGCCCAAGGTTATAGGTTCTGGTGGCCGCTATGACATACGGTTCCTTGGAAGCTGACTGTAAGGAGGAGGATTCTCCATATCCCCAGCCAACTGGTTTAATTTTTTTTTTTCCAGTCTATTTTTTGCATATAAAATTGGAGTTAAATATTTATCCAAAATGCTAAAGGTTTGACCTCAAAAGAAGTTGGCTATTAATAGTAGATATCAAATACCATGTGCTTGGACATTATGCTGAATACTTTTCATGAAATATTCTATTTACTTTTAACATCATCTTTGCCAGTACTGCTATTTCCTCTCCCTCGTACACATGTGGAAACTGAGGCATAATGAGGTGAGCTAATTGGTTGTTGGGATCTTAGGTGGCAGAACCAGGATGAGAACCGGCCCACTGCTTTCACCTTCATAGTCTTCTTTTTGAAAAAGCATAGGATCCTCTCACTGACCAGGGTCCTTCCCACGCCACACATAGGGAAAACCGAGTGAGATACATCCCACAAATAAGCACAGGGGGATCTCATGCAGCCTTGACTCTAGAAACCTCCCAGACATGGCATGCGATACAATCACCACTCATATCCCCACCCAAAGACCCGGAGAAGGTCTAGTGACAAGCCATTATGTAGATTAAACAGCCAGTTGCTAATCTGACTGGCATCTTTATATAAATACATATATTACTTTAAAAAAAACAGGACAGTTGACACCTATTATTAGGAAATAAAACAGTATTGGAGTCATGGAAAAATAAAATAATAGAAGTCAGATTTCTAACCTGGATTCTAATCTAACAAGCCATTTAATTTGCCCCCAACTCTATCTTCCAACATGTACATGTGGGGGTTGGATTAGAATCTTGTGAGATTCAGCTCCTTTGGGGTCAGTGAACTTCTACTTCAGAAAAAATGCACATGTACAGTTTTTTTGCATGTCATTGAGGGGTTTCATGGGCCCCCTTAAGTCTGTAGGAGTTTTTTACATTTTTATCATTATTCCTGCATTAGTTGATTCCTTGCATTTTCTTTTACTTTATGAATGTGGAGACTCTATGGCTATGCTGTATGAAGAAACCTTTGTGGATATAACCCTCTAATACACAATGGGCTTTTGGTGGATTGTTGCTGATCAAACACATTTGCTCAGCATCCATGCAGGATGTAGGTTCTCTTGATTGGACTAGGATTTCTGAAGAGTTGGCCATGGAGCTGGGAAAAGAGCAGGTGGGTTTAGAAGTGGGCTCAGACTTGGTTAATTTGGAAACTTTCTTAACCTCTTTAGTATCAGTTTCTCCTTTTGCGTAAGGAATGAAGACTGCCTGAGTCATGTGCCTGTGAGGCATTTAAGTGAAGTAGCAGACAATGAGCCCTGTAAGTAAGTCATTCCCTATAGATGGGAATGAGCCTGGTGATGTTCCTCACATGTCTGCTTATTGCGAACATACTTGTCAGAGGGCCGAGTCTGGCAGGCTATGGGTACTTAGCGGGTACAGACCTGGCAGGTCAGAGGAACTGCAGTGTGGCTGATGGGAAAGGTCCCTGGGGACCATGGGAACAACCTCTCCACAGGTAAAGGGAAACCTTGGGACATGGAGAGGTTACCTGAGAAAGGGAAATGAACTTGAAAATTGATATTGTTAAGAGAGGAAGTTGGGCTTAAACTTTTGGGAAAATTAGAGGTATTCTTTGGACTAGCATTCTCCAAAGGGCTGAAAGAGCAGCAAAGAGAGTCTTTGGATGAAGGAAATCTCCATCTAATAAAACTAACATTTAATCAGTGTTAATGTACAGTAACATCAGAACTTATTAAAGGTATACTTGGGAAGCCTTTGAGATGTTCATTCATTCACTCTTTCTTATTATCCTACTGGCAAGCATGAAAGATTTTTGAGAGAGATGCATATCATATTTGCATTAATAAGTCCAGCAGGTTTTCATGATACCTGTGCTTACTTCTCTGGTCTTCATTTCTCCTGCAAGGATCATGACTAATGTCTTAGATCTGGAAGAATGAAGTCTGTTTTCCTGTTTTTGAAGTTTAGTTTTCATTTTCTCCTTTTTAATTTGGCAATGCATGCATATCTTAAGCCACTCCTGTTAATGTCTGGTAAATTATTAATCTATATTTTTCTGCTCTTATTTTCAGATTGAAGAATTCCGAAGGCTGAGGACACATGTGAAGGGGGCGGAGCTCGTGGAAGGCTGTGATGGGATTTTGGGAGACAATTTTAGACCCACGCAGCCACTTAGTGACAGAGTCATCAGAGCTGCATTTCAGTAGCCGGAGGGAACGGGAACAAGCCAGGCTTCCTCCGGTATGTGCAGGCTGTGTAAGGAAGTGGGCAGACGGTTGTGTAAACCTATCAGACCAAAGGTACGCTCGTGGGGATCCTGATAATTCAGCCATATGAGTTTTATTTTGGTAAAATGTATGACACACTCTCAAGCCCCATTGATTTGGAAGTAAGGCGGTTTAAAAAAAAATATTCATGCATTGTTGAAAAGAATCTGCAATCCTCAGATTTTCCCACTAGAGCAGCCTTTCATTCCGAATGTTGCTTTAATACTGATTCTCCTAAGGACAGAGACAGGGATATGCCAGCACCCCTTTAGTACTTCACTGTGTCGAACCCCTGAAGCTTCAGCAGTCACCCCCTCATGACAGAGGAACGTGAAGGAAGGGACTGGAGGGGTGTGTGAGCCTCAGAGCTGACCCTCATTGTCTGACACAGATTTATTGTATTGTTTTTGGGGTAGGCAGATCTGTTGTGAATGAAAATACTTGTCCTACGGAAGTGCTATTATTTGATAATCAAGAAGCACTAGTTAATAATCAGAATATGGTATCTTTTGGGATTGATTAAAACATAATATATACATTTTTAACATGTTGAATTCAATATATGGATTCCTTACCCCTAAGGAGCTAACAAAATAAAACATCACAAACATGGAAAAGGTAAAGTCTACAAAAATGCCGGTACACTGAATTATTTCTTTACCTTGTAAATTGCCTAAGAGTGTGTACAGAGGTCAGCACGTGGCCGGCAAGCCACTGCTTCCCATAAGAGAGTCGTATCTGTTGAAATACTTTTCTAGGTAAGCAGGACAGAGCTCTGACTGTTTAGTGGACCATTGGGATAGATAGTCACGTATTACGCAAGCAATACAATGAATAGAAATCTCTGGCGTCCAGGAGCTCACAATCTCGTGAGCTGGACAGTCAACACGGGAATTGTAAAAGGTGATCGTTTCGTCCATGTGTTTCTCAATCCACTCTCCTTGCTTCTCTGTTATTACTACACTGTATGTAACCAGGACTCCAGCCAGACCGTCTGTTTACATCTGTGATTGTGCTTCGTTCACACAGTCCTTCCTGCTCCACCTTTTGCCTACTGAAATCCTTGCTAACCTGCAGGCCCAACTTCAATACCACTCTCAGCAGGAATTCTCTGCTTCTCCTCTCAATTGTACCTCTCATTTCGCATCATTTCTTCCATTTAACTTTGTGTATTTCTTATTTTGTTTTGTTTTGTTAGATTTCAGATTTTTTTCAGGATTGAAATATGTTTATTTTACTTTGAATCCATCATGACACATAACTTTGTATCTTGAATGTCCAGGCAAATGACAAGTTCCTTACACTCTAATGTCCTATATTCCAGTCATTCATTCCCTCTCAGTTTCTGTGTTAGACACTCCAGTGCCTTTCACCCTCCTAGTTTTGAAGATGATGACCAGGCAAGTTGCCTTTGGCAGGAATGAGAAGAAACTTGTAGTAACTCCATGAATGAGAACAAAGGAATGTAGCAATGGAGATTTCTGATAGTGGGACTACCTTTTCAAAGACCCCAAGGAGCTACTCCTTGTGAAGGAGGTAAACATTTAATGCACTGAGGTACCCGAAGGAAAACCCCGTGGGCCTGAGGATAGAAATCAAAGCAGGGAGTTAGGCAGGGCCCATCCTTGGAAGGCCTACCAGCCATGTGAAAGCATCTTTATTGTTGATGCATTGATAACTTATACAGACTTTTATTCAGGGGAGTGGCCTATTCTCATGTGTGGTTTTAGTAGGTCACAGGGACTGGAGATCGAATGCACTGGATTATAGTGGAAGGACATTGCAGAAGTCAGCTGAGTAGCCAAGGTGTAGGACATGAAGGCTCGGATTCTGACGAGGAGCAGTGGAAGGAGAGAGACTTTCATGTGTGCGAGACAGACCTTGAAGGCGACAGCTAGTGACCGATTGGATGAGGTAGAGGAGAGTGGATAGATGAGTTAGAGAGGTTGGAAATATCAAAGATAAGTTTTATGTGGATAGATTGTAATTGAGTGACAGCAGGAAAGCTGGAGGAGGCTCTGTTTGGGATAGAAAGGAAGATAAAGAGTTGAGTTGGGATGGTGATAGCGTGGAAGCCCCGGGGGTTGGGTCACAGTGAGGCAGGGAATCTGTGTCTGCTGCCACCGCCGCACCAGCCTATTCCATGTGGTCCATGTGGGCACCGTCTTTACTGTGATGATCCCTAGCTTCCAGGTCAACCACTGGGACTTCTTTGGGCCCTGGAAGCTTACGGCAGCTAAGACCTACATCAGGAAGTTGGCAGAGGTGGAGAAGTTAGCTGATGAATTGTATGTGCCATTTACCCCCGGAATGATGTTTGGAGACAATGTTTTAAGAATGCAGCATGGTTTTGGCCTTGGGATTGAGTCAGTGATACAGATGTGTAAACAACTACCAAGGAAGCTTCAAGTAGCCCGGATAGAGTGTGAACATTCCAGGGAGGTTATTAAACCCTCTGATTTGACATAAGCAATAGATTATAAGGGAACATTACATGGAGAATCACTCAAGTTAAAGGTACATCCTAAAGATACAGTGCATTTGAAAGCCAGAGAGCAGATTAATTTTTTTTTTTTTTGCAGAAGTTCCCTTGTTTGAGGATGAACTTCATGATCATGTAGTTTCAAGTCTAAGTATGAAAATTAGAGTAATGCCTTCCAGCCTTTTCCTGCTATTGCAGTTTTGCTTGTGAATTGATGGAGTGCTGATCAGCATGAATGATAGGAGACTTTACCACGAGGCCCACAAGACCTACATGTTATAAGAATATACATCACGAGAGAGCAAAATTGCTAATTTAACCAACGTTTCACCTTCCCTCTTCATGGAACCTAATGAAATGTCACAGTATTTACTGATCAAGGAGGCAGTTTGTGACAAACTAATATTTCCAGATAATTGGTCACAACCCCACAGACTCTCAAGAAAGTGCATCTGTGGAGTAGAATGTGATGTACTGTGTACTCACCGTGGAATCTGATGAAGACCTCGGCTATGTGGATGGGGGAATTTTTATTATGATCATTGCCTTATATAGGTGCAGATTTTTCGGTAGCCTTAAAGGGGAAATATAAAAAAGATTGTTTCAGGCAGATTCCACTCCTCCTAACCCCCAAAAAAAGAGCTGAGTTGGCGCATGTTGAATGAGAGATGCCTGTCACTCTCCAATGGTGGATCCACCATGAAGGTAGCTGGAATTTTGAGAGTGGAGATCAAAAAAGAGGACTAAACTGAACATGGGGGTTGTTGGCATAGAGATTAATATATATATATATATATATATATATATATATATATATATGTATGTATAATGTTCTAATGCTGCATAGGCATTAACTCATGAAGTGTTCATACAGTCTTTGAGTCTTTACAGGTACATTAACCAAAGCGCAGAGGAGTTAGGTCAGTTGCCCAAAGTAATGCAGTTGTGCAGCAGCACTGGAAGGGGGACCCAGGCAGCTGGACAGAGGTCAGAGTGTCCCCATGCTGGCGGTAAGGGTGGAGTGATGCCGAGCGATGCATGTTGCCACAGAACAAAGTTGAGTGTCAAGGGAGGAGGCAGAGATGCTATGTGATGCTCCATGATTCACTTACATATTGCAGTGTGATTACCATTGTAGTGTTGCCTAACACCTATCATGTCACACATACATCATTTCTTTCATTGTGGTGAGAATGAGACTTTTAAAAAATTTATTTTATTTTAAAAATATATTTTATTGATTTTTTACAGAGAAAAAGGGAGAGGGACAGAGAGTTAGAAACATTGGTGAGAGAGAAACATCCATCAGCTGCCTCCTGCATGTCCTCTACTGGGAAATGTGCCCACAACCAAGGTACATGTCTTCCACCAGAATTGAATCTGGGACCCTTGAGTCCACAGACCGAGGCTCTATCCACTGAGCAACACCGGTCAGGGCAAGACTTTTTTTTTTTTTAAACAAAAGAAATACTGGAACTTTTCTTTATGCAGATGGAGGGACTGAAGATGCTGTTTCTCAGAGGGGCTAGTCCTAGCTGTGAAGTGTCTAAAGAGTTGAAAGGGATGAAATCCTAAGTTGATTTGCAGATTGACTTTTGTAAGAGAATAGACCCTTCATGTGCAGTAATAGGAAGAAAGAGGAGGTGGTGGTTTATAGACATAGTGAGTCTGTGACTTGCTTTTGTTATTTAGGGAAGAATGGGGAGGTAGCCAGTAGGGGCTAGAGCTGCAGGGAGGATGGGAGATTGGAGCAGAAGGGTGGAAAGGATGGGTTTACAGGAGTGACCAGTAAGAGGGGAAGACAGTGAGGTGTGATGAGGTTTGTTCAACATGAATTTATGACTCTCTCCAGCTTAGGTTTAATATACTGTCTATGATGATCAGTGACTATAAGTGACCCTTTTTAATGAAATAAGATTATCTTGAATTTTTTATCTATATCATTCTAGACCAGAGGTGCCTCTCTAAATATCTAAATAGCCATCTCTATTTTATCACTTTTACACACACAGCACCATGATATTATGTATATTTCAGATACTTCATATTCACTGTATGATAGGAAGATAATGTATAATTTTGAAAGTCTTAAATCAATGACAATTTAAGTATTTTGAAAAGGAAGACAGATCCATGTCCTGTTTTTGGAGGCTGAGATTACTTAAAGGAGGTCATTTTCCCAGAAATTCCCAAGAATGGTGCAGGAATTCTTTCAAAGGTGACCCCAATTCTGACTTCATCCTTTTATGAATGCATTTTTCATCCCTTTTATCTTGAAATATGTTATACAAATCTAGTTATAGTTCTACATAAAAATTATATTGGGAAATCAGACTTATGGATGTGTGCTTTTATTTGATATTTAATAATGCCCTAAGGCAGTAATTCAAATTTTTATTAAAGTGAAATGATTTGACAGTCAGACTTTGAATTTAATGCATGAATGTTTCATTTAAGCTCTTGGAACTGAAAAGAAAAAAAAATGCCCACACTTTTTTTCTGGTAGTCCTCTAAAAATGTTTAAAATAATTTAGATTTATTTTAGCTATGTTTTACTAAAATAACTTTAGTTTTGGGACTTAAAATGGCATTTTTTTTGCACGACATGTCTAGACATCTGGAAGGCTTTGATAACCAAGACTTATTATTCCCATGAATAATCTGTAACTTTTCATATTACCATTTCAGAAGTAAGAACTCTGATTTTGTACTTGCATAGAGAGTTAGCATATAACTTACCCAGGTGCATTGCTAGTTCAGATTTCCTGGAGCCAGTTGACATTAAATGATTCTTCACCTATTGAGTTTTCTATAGAAAGACTGAAAATATCAAAACTTAACAACAAACAAAGAATATGGCCAAGCATTAGGCCCAGTTTCTTTGTTGCTCTTGGTGTCATAACTTTGGTACTAATCTATCAATGAAATGATTATTTGCCTATTTCTTTCATTGAGTATTATCCCAGTTTTAGAAGGCTATTCTTACTGTTTAGTCTTATCTATTTCCCTTATGACTCAGATATTGTTAAACTGCACATATTTACAATAACTATAATTAATTATACTTATTTAATTTATTTTCTATAAAAAGCAATACCACAAAGCTCTTTAAATATTTCCTTTTCCCCCCTGTCTTAAAAGGAGGCATATGAGTATGTCCCAAATAGATTCTTAAAATGCTCAAAAAACGTAGAAGAAAAAAGAGGGGTGATTAAGCAACCTTCTCTGAACAATTGCTTTATCACACTTGCCCTTGTAATTCTTTCTGGGTCTTTGAAGTCACACTCAGCTGTGTTGAATTCTTCTCCACGTATACTTTTGCAATTAATAATGTTGTCTTCTGAGTGATAATGAAGCTATAGCTAGCAACAATTCCATATCGGTTTTCTTTTATAACCTAAAAGAACTATAGGGTAGAAAAGGATAATGCATTATAGGAAAGGAGGGTCTGTGTGGGAAAAGAGAGAATGTTAACTTGGAATGACCATGTAGGTAAATGCTGCTATTATGCTTCCTGGATAAATGGAAAGTTCTTTTAGTCAATAGAACCTGGACTCTCTGCAATCTAGTAGTTTAACATGATGCACAGCAAGCATTAGGGTGAGGGATGAAAGCTCGATGGGTATTGCTGTTTTCTATTTACTGTATCATATAGAACTTTTTTGAAAATGGAATGAATTTCCTAAAGCAGTGGTCGGCAAACTCATTATTCAACAGAGCCAAATATCAACAGTTCAACGATTGAAATTTCTTTTGAGAGCTATATTTTTTTAAACTTAAACTTCTTTTAAAGCCACATCTTCAGAATAGACTCACCCAGGCCTTGGTGAGCCACACACTCAAAGGGCCAAAGACCCGAATGTGCCTCGCCAGCTACAATTTGCCAACCACTGTCCTAAAGGGTTTCAAAATGATTTCAGGAAGAGGCCCCAATACCGAGGATGTTCAATCTATCTATTGCGTTTTGGTTATGGGATATGAAATTGTTATTAACTCAAGACTGAAAATATCAAAACTGTCTGCGCATTTCTTCAAAATGACTAAACAAAGAGAATACTCCCTGCTTCCATATTTCTCCCCAACCCCCCTTTTAAAGAATAGTTTATTGATTTCTAGAGAAAAGGAAGGGAGAAGAGAGAAACATAGATGTGAGAGCGTAACATTGACCTGCTGCCTCACACCTCAGATCAAGCCGGCAACCCCGGCATATGCCCTGCCTGAGAATCAAACCACCGAGTCACACTGGCCAGGGCCTTTCCTTATGTTTTAGAAATGTTAATTATTTATTGTGCATAAAAATTCCAGAATAACTTAGTGTTCCTCTTCCCCCATGAATTCAAACAAAATTGTGTTTGGGCAGAAGAAGAGTCCATTTTGCAATCATGGGCCAACATATATGGTGAACATTAATATATTCTCGCACTTTACATTGATTTTATGATTTTAAACCTGAAGGATATATTTTCCATAAGAAAATCTCTGAGACCAGGTGATCTCCTCTAAACATGTTCTGTGATGCCTCTCATCTCATGGATGCTCATTTTTTGTAATTTCCTCAAATCAAAATTTTAGCTTTGTTTTTCCACTCTGAGATGTACGGAAACCTTATGGAGAGGTATTCGTGTCAGTTTCATTGTCCTTTGTCTGTTGTCTATTCTCTCTAGTTCTCTTTCCTGTGATAAAGTTCACAGAGGTTTAGGAAAGCAGAGGCGCCATAGCACTGGGGAACTGTAAATTCCCAGCACTCACTTCCTGCCAGAGTCCTCACCGCTCAGCCTGACGGGCCTGCTCTCTCCGTAGGTGACTCACCTACACCCACAGCTTCAGTGGCCACTAAATACAGATATACCCCTCATTTACATCCCTGCATCAGGTCTCTCTACGAAGTTCTAGAATTGAGTGCCTGCCTGTCAGTCTGACTTTTCTTTTGGGTTGTCAAAGGCATCTCTGACTCAACATATACGAGATTGAATTCATGATGGTCCTTCGTAGACTTGGCTCTCCAAGTTTTCCTAGAAACCTGAGTCAGACTTGACACTCCTTCATCTCACTTCTTCTCACCTCACCTCACCTCACCTCACTTCACCTCACCTCACCTCATCATCTCACCTCACCTCACCTCATCATCTCACCTCACCTCACCTCATCTCACATTTCCATATATCATCCAGTTCTAGATTTTCCTTCTGATAGCTCCAAATCTATCTATCACAACCCATAAAGTTAGCATTATCTCTCACCTAGACTGTTGCAAGGGCATTCTTCCTCTCTTCTACATAGGATTATTCGAGAAAGATTTATAAAAATAACAGACGTCAATGACACAGAACACTCAAACGTGTGTGCCAGCTCTTGAGGGATTGGTACAAGGGCATTGAGTAGGATTCTGAATCTACACCTGAGCACTGTGGGACACGGTGACATAACTAATTGTCACCGTTTGCCATATGAGACTGGTGGTGGTCTTGTGGCTTCTTATTGCCATCCACTTGAACTATAGTATTATGGGCATCTGATTTAAATGTCTCAGCTGTTAAAAGTCTTTTAAATGGGCTTTGGAAAATTGACCTGCATTAGATCTACCAATATGTAACTTGGTGCTAGTGATTACAAGGAAATACAGAAACATGATGAAATCATGAAGTTCTCTACTTTCTTTTTAATACTTTAATTTCATTATGTGGTAGTTAAGGTCCTGCTGATTGTGCTAGCAAGCTGCTTACATAGAGCACCACCTGGGAAATCTGAAATCTCTGCATGGAAATGAACATGGCCTGATAGTGTATGGCACTTCCTTTTTCTTAGGGATGGGAGCCATCTCCTGTAAGTTAGAGAAGGAGCCACGTTAGAGGAAAGGTAGATATTGACACCAGTCTCACAAAGGTGTGAGACAATGTCTTTTAAAATATATATTAAAAAAAAAGCAACACAAAAATTTTGCTCATTTATCTTGGAGATATTTCTGTTAATACAAACAGGTTTGCCTTGTTCTTTTGGCTACTTCAGTTTTAATTAAACAAGTATTCCAGTTAAGACTTTTAACAAAACAGTAACCTAGATAATTCCCAATGTCCTGGACAAAAATCCAAAATATTTATTAGATAATATGGAGGTTTCCTAATCAATCAAGTTGCCACTAGACAGCACATTCTCAACTAAATGAATTGCTACATTTCCATTTTCCATTACAGAGCTTTAAACTCTTTCAGAATTTCTGAATTCTTTTCATTTCAGTGGTCACAAACTCATAAAGGCTTTTTAGGCCTTGTCTGCATAAAATATTTTCCAGGACATCTTAGAAGCATGGAGTTGAATTGGATCTCAAAAAGTTAGTTAATCCAGTCTTCTGCCCAGAGTGGTCTTCAACCAAATTATTCCAGATGGCTGCTCCCCTTATCTACAAACAAACAGTCCAACTCACCCGTGTTGTCTGCAAATACCTACTTCAGAGTGTTTTATTCCTGCCTAATTCAATGAGAAAAAAACCCATTAAGAAATACTGTCTGTAAAGTATTAACTAAATTGGAATACCATTCAGGTAGTAATATTTTTATGGTTTTCCATAAATAAATATTTTTTATTAATGTCATTGGTTAGATTCCAAGTATCCCAAGATTTTTGTTTTTTTTTCTTTTTGTAGCATGAATGAAGTCCTACAACCTTTATGCTGCAGAGAAACGCATAATTTTTCACAGATATGAATGTTCATTCTGATTTTAGTATGGGGACAACCAAAGGTTCTCTAATATCTTTTCTTTAAAGAATGATTATATTTAATGGTTCCCAGCAACAAAATCACTGTAATTAGGAATATAAGATTGTAAATAAGAATAACAATGCTATTAATCATCTAAGTTAGTCATTTATGGCACATTCCTGTACTTGAAATATTTCCACAGGAAATAATGCTAAAATCCACATTTACTTATAATTAGACATAATACAAACCTTCTCTCATTATAATAGTTGCCCAAATCCCAATTCAACTTAATTTCCTTGAATCTGATGTCTGGACTAAAAGCATTAAGCTTGAACTAGTAAAAAATGTATAATATGTGCTTCAATTAAGAAGTAATTAGATACTCAATCACCCTTACAACACACCAGGGATTAGGGAAGAAGGAAGAAAAATATGATGCACTGTAGTGTAGAAAATAGTTTTGTTAATTAGTTTAGTGCTAATTGAGATTGAGAAAGTGTCAAAGTATCATAACATAAGTTTACTTCTGATTGCTTTAAAAGCTAATAGTGTTTAATATTTTAGGATACTTTGATGCAGAGAAGTGAGCAAATGACCAAGCTATGATTTACCCTAGAGTTTTGATTAAAGTTTAGACATCTATTCTAAGGTATACATATTAGTGAGTGATGGAAGGTAAAAACAAATGCTACTTTATATTTTAAACATTCTGTTGTATTGTACATCTAATTTAATCCTCACAACAATTCTGTGAGGCATGTGTGTTTATTTTCATTTTAGAGATAAAGAAACTGAGACTCAGAGGGGTTGAGTAACTTGCTCAAGGTCACAGCCATTAAAGTGCAAAGCAAGGATGCAAACCCAGGTAGGTTCAACTACAAACCCTCAGCTCTTCCCCCTGCGCCCCATTTCAAATAGCAAAGGCAGAAAATTATGAAGGCCTCTCTATCTGCGCCCCCTTCTTTCTGCAAGAACAGTTCCTGGGAGTAAGATTTCTGGGGGAAAGGACATGCCTGGTTTTGATTTGGGTAACATATTGCTAAAATCCCCTCTATAAAGAGTTATATTAATTTTTGCTTACATCATTGATTGAACACTTTATAGAGGGTTTTTTTTTTTTTTTTTTTTTTTTTTTTTTTGCCATTTACTTCTATCAATCCCTTTGCATGCCTCGCACCTCTCTCCCATCTTTTTACTCTTCACTTTCTTGAAATATGTTCATCTCCATCTGCCTATTGAAATGGCTGTGGCAAAAGTCACCGTTGAATTTCTTTCTCCTTTTTTTTCCTTCTTCCCATATCTCCAAATATAATACATGGTCATGGAAGAAAATTTAAACAATGCAGAATAAAAGGAAGAGGAAGCAGACGTTTCTCAAATCCTCCTCTCTGGAGAGCTGTCACCAGTGCTGGGTGTTCGGTTGAACATGGGAGACCTGTAGCACAGTGGGGCATGGCTCAGGTTCCATTCTGACTCCACCACTAATTGGTTGTGTGACCTTGAAAAAGTTACTAATATCTCTAAGTCTCTTTTTTTCATCACTTAAAAAGAAGACCATAATAGTGTCTACCTCATAGGGTGGTTGTGAAGATATGATGAGATAATGTGATCAAAGTTGCTTAACATGGTTTTGGTTCATAGTGTAAGTATTCAATAAATGTACCTTTAACGTTATTTGTGTCCATTTGATCTCTCCTAGGCATATATTTCATATGGATATGCATACATATAGTGTTCCTTATGGGATTATATTATGCAGGCTGTTTCTATCTGCTTAATGATACATCTTTTATTTTTAAAAGTATATTTTATTGATTTTTTTTACAGAGAGGAAGGGAGAAGGATAGAGAATTAGAAACATCAATGAGAGAGAATCATCTATCAGCTGCCTCTTGCACACCCCCTGGTGGGGATGTGCCCACAACCAAGATACATGCCCTTGACCGGAATTGAACCAACGTCCCTTCAGTCCACTGGCCCACGCTCTATCCACTGAGCCAAACTGGTTAGGGTGATACATCTTTTCATGCCATTGAAGAGAGGGCGTACTTTTAAATGATTGTACTAAGTTGCCTTTAAGTATATAACAAAATTTATTGAGCTATTTCTCTATTATTGTGCATTTATGTCATTTCCAGTATTTAGCTATAATCAACAACACCATGGTTAATTTATGCATTTATTTCCTTAAAAATTCTTAGTAATAAGATTGCTGGCTCAGAGAGTTAATTATAATATATATGTGTGTGTGTGTGTGTGTGTGTGTGTGTGTGTGTGTATGCAAATTGCTCTTCCCCAAGAGTTGTATCAGCTTATGTTCCCACTAACCATGTGCCCAATTATACATTTATTTCTCTTTACCTTTACGAACATTGAGTATTTTCAATTTCTTTTATTCTTGCCTATCTGATTAAAAATGACTGCTACATTATATTAGATATTTCTGTGAACACTTGATTTTATTCCTGAATTTTCTATTCTGTACCATAATCTATCTATTCGTGAGCAATGACCAGGATGTTTGTGGCAAGAAAGCATATTTCAGTGTTTTGTAGGACAAAGTCCCTTACTAATCTTTTTGACAGAATTTTCACATGTTTAATTCTTCTAGAAAAGATGCAGGATCATTTTTATCAGAAAGACTGACATAAAGAATATAAGAAAAAAAGGGTGAGTAAAAGAGAAAAAGAAAGGAAAAAAGAATCTTGCTAGGATTTTTCATTTGGATTGCATTGAATATATAGAGTAATTTGAGAATTGATATCCTTTCAGTATTAAATCTTTTAGTTAAGGAACAATGCACAGGTGTATGCTTATTAATGTTTTTTATGTTCTTCATACATTGTATAGTTTTCTCTTCTTACTAAGTTTACCCCAGGATGTGTGCATTTGGGCTCTGGAGTTGGCCTGGAATATTGCTTGATGAGGAACACAGTGTATGTAGTTGCTGGTCTACAACTTGGGCAAATCACTGATATTCTTTCAGCCTCAGTTTCCTCATTTATGAACTGAAGGCACTGGGAGTCACACCTCTTAAAGATGTTGTGAGGATTAAATGAAACATGGCGAAATGTTCAGGGCAGTACTTAGCCAAGGGCTCGCATTCAACAAATGTGAGCTATTACTATCAATTTTGATTAGTGATATTTCCTATTCTAATATTGGTTAATGTTATTTAATTGAAAAAATAATTGCTTAAGTCTGTCCTTGGCTTTCTCACTAATCTTTCCTATAGTTTCCTATAATACTAGTACTTTAGCTGATTGTTTGGAGTTTTCTATATAGACTGTGATCACATCTATCTGAAATGATAATTTTATTTCTTCCTTTATAATTTTAATACTTACTATTTTATTGTACCATTATAATACTTTTAGAATAATGTTAAGTAAATTCACAGTGATGTCTGGTACCCCTTTCTTACTTCTGATACCCTTGTATTTCTACTTCCCAAATCCAGAAGCATTTTCCCCCAACTCTCTTTAAATCTTAAAAAATATCTGATTTCTTGAACTCTTTCTTCCTCTCTTTATTTTTCTTCCTCATGACCACATACTGTTTGTTACTAGTGGGTATGTTGAAGAAGGTAGCTATATGCCTTTGCTTGTAATGGAAGGACATTTATCTTTAACCTTCTGTTTTGTGTATGTCAGTATTGAAGGGGCTATGTGGAAACAAACATAATCAGACATAGATTTTCCCTGTAGGAGTTTACAGCCTAGTATTGGAAGTTAATCAGGTGCACAGCTAACTCCAAATCAAAGCAACATATATTAGGTCTAGTAATAATTAATGTCGTTTTCTAATACTTTTTTAAATTGAATTTATTTAAACAATACAACAAAATTTAATCAACAATATAGTTGCCGTTGTTTTCTACTACTTGTGCCCAACAAGCATTTTAATCCCTCTGTTGTAAAATTCTTGTGATTTTGATGCAAAAAATTTGGTCAATGCATTTTTGAGGCATTCTTCATTATTAAATTTTTTTCCAAGAAGAAAGTTTTGCAAAGAACGAAACAAATGGTAATCGGAAGGGGCAATATCAGGAGAATATGCAGGTTGAGGGAGAACTTCCCATTCCAACTGGTGCAGTTTTTCAGCAGTGATTCTTGCAGTATGCGGTCGTGCGTTATCGTGGTGAAGAATTACGCCCTTCCGATTATTCAGCGCGGGTTCTTTTTCTCTTAAAGCTTGGGCTAACCTTTCCAATTGGGCACTATACACTGCACTTGTAATGGTTTGGTTAGATTAGGGGTGTCGAACTCAATCAGAGAAGGGGCCAAAATCTAAAATCCAGCCTAAATCGCGGGCCGAATGGTTTACTGAACAGTCATAAACTGTCATTGTGATGGAAACGCAGCGGAGTGCAGTGATGACAGCGCGGTGCGGGCCACATTGCAAGGCCTGGTGGGACGGATTTGGCCCGCGGGCCTTGTGTTTGACACATGTGGGTTAGATGGTAAAAGTTCATAATGAAGAATTCCTTTAAAATTCCACCAAACACACAACATCACTTTTTTCGCATGCAAGTCAGGTTTTGGCGTGGGCTGCGGAGCCTCATTTTTGTCCAACCATTGAGGCCGCCTTTTCAAATTAACATACAGCACCCATTCTTCATCTCCGGTAACAATTTGCTCTAAAAACGGCAAACGGTTTTGACGAGAGAGGAGCGAACTGCAAATTGTGAGTCTTTGATTACGGTTGTTGTCGGTCAACTCATGAGGAACCCATTTTCCAAACTTTTGGACTTTGCCAAGTGCGCGCAATTGATTGGAAATTGTTTTTTGTGAACAATTTAAAGTTGTCGCAAGCTCTTGTTGGGTAATTTGAGGACTTTGCACCAAAAGAGCTTGAAGAGCTTCTTGATCAAAATTGGACACACGGCCTCGACCACTCTTGTCATCTAACTAAAAATTTCCCTCGCAAAATTTCTCAAACCAACGCTGGCATTTTCTGGCGCTAACTGCATCTTGACCAAGAGCACTACAGATGTTTTTTGCAGCCTCAGTTGCTTTTCTTCCTAATTGGAACTCGTAAAGCATGCAGTGCCGAATATGCTCTTCATCCGCCATCTTCTTAGCCCTAGTTTTGCAACAAATACCAAAAAACAAACACAAACTTTTTCAAGCAAAACTTGTTAATTGCACTTCACACGTTCTGTAGATACCACGTGTTTGAAGGTTATGTCAATACAAGTCAACGCCAAGCAAGATTTTAAACGAATGTTAAAAAATGACATTAATTATTACTATACCCGATAGAAACTGCCCTGACATAGGGTTCTACTGGTGTACAGGAGAAAGAGACCATTTGAAAAGAGAAAGTCCGTATGTCTAGCATATAGCTATTTCTTAAAAGAATCCTATTTTGGAGATGTAACATTGAATTATCTTGCTTAAAGAGGGATGTGTTAGAGTGTTATCAAGGAGCTGAGCCAGACTCGCTGGGATGCAGATCAAGCCTGGGACCTGCAGTGGCCTTTGAGAACAAGGACATGTGTGTTCTTATTTTTGATAGCTTTTTAGGAAACTCGCCAATAGTGATTTGATTTGTACTCATTCCCAAGGATCTCCTTGTAGAAGATAATTTAAGGTTCTGAAACAGTCACAGGAAAGACAGCATCTGTTATAATTATATTGAAATAGCTGATAATTTAGAAGACTTCTTAAGATATAGTCATACTTCAAGGTCTCATTATGGACAATGACCATTGCATAATAGAACATTTCCTTATTTTTTTATTATTATTTATATACTAGTGACCCAGTGCATGGATTCATGCACATTGAAAAGAAATTAAGTGGTGGCCGGTGGGGTGGGACTGGGCGAGATGGGCCGGACGTGCCCTGGAGACAACCTCCCGCGGTCACTCCCCAGCTTCTGCAGAGTGAGTGGGGTCCCTCCAGCAGGTGGGGTCCCTTGGCCTGGCCTGCGGGGATTGGGCTGAAACCTGCTCTCTGACATGCCCTGAGGGGTCCCGGAGTGTGAGAGGGCACTGTGCAAAGTTGCTGTCTACAGGGTGTGGAACGCAAATGCAAGTGTGCAGTAAACCATATTTGGGGCCAATAGTGCCCCAGCAACAACGTAACCCGTGGTTAATGTGGAATCCCACGAGGAATCGGGCTCCCCCCTCTCTGGTTTCAGGGTTTGTCACCCAGGAACCTCTGCAGCCAAGTCACTGCAGCTTGGCAGCTCCTGCGTCAGCGTCTGGCCCCTGGTGGTCAGTGCACGTCATAGTGACTGGTTGGACAGGTGGAGGGACACTTAGTATATTAGCCCTTTATCTCGCTAGATAAATGGGTATTTGGAGGAAGTCCCGAAGTGCAGAAAGTTAGCCTGATCCCCTCTGTATATTCAAAGTGTCATTTCTTTCCTTACATATTGATTACCAAGGAATACAGTTGTTGTGGAAACTTTAGAAAATATACAAATGTGTAAAAAGGAACTTTTATTTTAAATACTGATAATCCATTAAACCTAGACAGTTAATTTTGTTTCCATCACAAATTGCTGTAAAATAACAGGAAATAGATTTTTTTTTTAAGTGCACAAACCTACAAGGATAGCCAAAACAAAAGAGGAGATAACAGCGACAATATTTTGGAAGCTAGAAGCAGATGCTAGTATGATAATGGATTTAGCAGATGTGAGGAACAAGCCTATGTACATAACAGAATCTCGTAAAGTCCCAAGAATTGGTGACAATAGTTACCAATTTCACTATATGTTGGAATGAAAGGAGACTCAAATCATCTGTATTGGTTCTGTTTAAGAAGGACTTACATCTCCAAATCCTCTCCCAGTCTTCAGTGGGTACCTGGAGATACTCTCTGGAGATGATGAAGAGAGAGGGGACATAGGCATAATTGATCAGGATCAGGATACTACAGTAAAAGAGAGTGATTGAAGGACTTCCTCATACCCCCTTTCCCTCTCCTGCCCCACTTGCCTTCCAATGCAGTGGTAGAAAGTTCTCTACCCAGACAAGTGGCCAAAAGATACTTTCTGGAGAATCTGACACCAGGGACTTCTCTACTGTAGCCCAGCTGGCTCATCCTGTGGTGATAGCACAACAGATAAGACCCCCTGTGTGCTTGGAGTCTCCATTCTGGCTTCTAGTAGTGGTTGTTCCCTTTCTCAGATATGAGCAGTTACAGATATTTGAAGGAATCCTATAACATGTAAGAATCCACAACACACAGAATAAGGCAAGTTATCAGAAAGACCTAGGAAAAGAAAACTTCAAGAAGGCAATCATTCAGATCTTCAGAGAGAGAAGGAAAGAAATTGCAACCAAGGAATAGGAATGGGATGCAATTAAGAAACTGAAAACAGGAGAGCAGAAATGAAAAATCTTATAGTGGAAACAGAAGGAAGAATTGAAGACATTTCTTAGCAAGTAGAGCAGAACAGGAGAGGATGAAATAAGAAAATTGGAGAACCAATTTAGGAGCTCCATTATCCAAAAAATAAAAAAAGTAGAGAGAGACCAGAGAAAGTGGAGGAGATGAACTAGCAACAAAATTATTCAAAATATTTTCTCAGAACTCATGGACATACATTTCCAAATTATGAAGGACCCACTAAATTTCCAGTATGGTAGATAAAAATACATCCACACCAAGGCACTATCACCGTGACATTTCTGGGCGCTGAGGGAAAATTACAGTGAAAAAAAAAAAAAGTCAAAGGTCAAAGAACCTGGAATTTGAATATCAAACATCTCAATAGCATACTGGAAGCTAAAAGTCAAGGGATCATATTCAGAATTCTGAGGGAATTTTCATCCCACTTAGAATTCCTTACCCAAACTTTTGATTAATTTGAAATGACTTCTCAATGTCCTTTTCAAGTATCAAAGTCATTAAAAACTTACTTCCCAGGAAACTACTGGAAAATCTGCTTCACCAAAAGGGAGTAAACAAAGAAAACAGATGTGGGATTCAGGAAACAGGAGATCAGACAAAGAAGAAAGGCAAAGGAGATTGCCAGAAAGATGGTGACCCGAGGTTGTAGGCAGAGACGGTGTCAGTCAGATGTGAGCAGAGAAGGTTCTAGAAAAGTTTCCTTAGGACAGTGAAACTGATAGACTGCAAGATGTCTGAACTTCCCGAGAGTCAGGCAATTGGTAGGTAGTTTTGATTTGAGTATACAGGAAGCTAAGGTAGAAAAAAAATGCAAGATAATGAACTCCACAGAAAACAAAAAGGTGTGCAGGAAAAGAGAACTAATGATATATTAATACACAGAGCTCAGCTCTGAATACTATTTATATCATTACAATACTAGAAGCTGACTATTGAAAGAGCCAAAATTACTGGGAAAATGGGGTAAAGGGAATGGTGGTGTGTGTGTGTGTGTGTGTGTGTGTGTGTGTGTGTGTGTGTGTGTGACGGAGGGGGGGGGCGGTGTCTGACAGGAGGAAAGAGGGTCAATCTTCATTCTCCATAGGAAAGTTCAACAGACAATACTGGAATGGAGCAATACAATCATGCTGCTTAGCTTTATGGTGTTAATAATCAGCTAAAAGAGTTGAGGAGGAGGAAATGGGTGGCATATGGGATGGGACTGATAGTTTTCATAAGAAACATTTTAGAATTATTTAACCTTCTAAACTGTGTGCATGTATAATTTTGAGGAAAATAAATACAAATAGGAGCAATTGCTACTCTCATTTTGTTATACTTTTAAAAATGATTGTACACAGGCATACACATGTACACACTTATGAATTTTCTTGGAGTGTTTGCTTTGAGCCAGATATTGTGCTGGACCTTAGGAACTCAGCTCAGTGTAGATGAGACCAAGTGTGATTCCATCCCATGAACACTCCCTCCAAAAATGCTGAATAGTTAATTTCAAACACCTGCTTATGGAAAATAATAGACCATCCAGTGTGGCAGTTCAGTTTTCATCTAGCTAGGTGTCTATAAAATCAACTGAAATGGTCACTGGTAGTTCAGTTATATGCTTTGGAGGTGATGTTACATTATATCTGTTGTCATATTACATTCTCACACAATCTCTACGAGTAGATATTGTTACTTATGAGTTAGGCATTGTACCAGAAGGGTCAGGTAAATCGCCCAAAACTTTACAACAAGATGGGGGTAGAGTTGGGATTTGAATTTGGGTCTTCCTGATTCCAGATTTATACCTCAGATTGTGATCAATTGAAACATATCCCCAGATATTATGGTATCTGCAGTGAACAAGATTGAACGTCTGTCTTTTGGGGGGGGGAATCTAATATCAAGATCACTATGAGAGTTCCTTGTTTTGAGAGGTGACATTATCTTTGAAAACTATAGAGAAAGAAAAGCCCAGTAAGCATAGGGTATTATCTTTAGTTTCTTCTGTGAGAGAGATCTTAGGAGAGTGAGTACCTAAATTCACCAGCAGAGTCTACATTCAGTTATATTAGAATTCATTCAACATTTATGGAGAACCCTCTACATCAAACCTTTGGAGCTTCAAAATGACACCAACAGGCAAGTGCAATGGGCTGCCATATGGATGTATGTTCAATGTTAAAATGCTCTGGATTAAGACATGACCTTGCATGATTAGAGTGGTTTATTTATCCATTTATTATTTATCCATATACTTAATAGAAGTGTAAAGGTATTTGGGAACTAGGAAGAAGTGATTATTACACATAAAATTAATGACAATAGCAGGAAGTTTTATTTTGTTATTAAACATTAGAGTCCTGTCACACGAAATTTGTGTGCACGTAGGGTCCCTAGGCCTGGCTTGTGATGAGGGCCGATCATTCTCGGCTGCCAGCCGGCCCAGTCCCCTGCTGCCACCATGGCTGGTCACCCTCTGTGTGTGGGGCGAACATAGGGGGTGACTGGTGGGGCGATTGGCGCCCAACACTGCCTGTGTCCACCGCCACCCAGTTCCCATTTTCCATCAGGCGTTTGGAGCCTGCTCTTGGGGGTGGAGGTGGGGGGGTGGGGAAAGGAATAACCGAAAGGTTGGCTAGCCGATCAGGCAGTCAGCTGGGGCCAGCTCCTGCGTTGAGCGTCTTCCTCAGTTCCTGTCATAGCCAACCAGTCGTTCCACCGTCTGGTCAATTTTTATATTATGCTTATTTATGGATTATTGTTTAATTATTATTAAACATTTTTGTTTAGAAAACAATTCAAACACTTATTTATTTGGGAGTAAAGTGCTTGGTTCTATGAAATTTTGCACTGATAGATTCTGCAACAGTGAAATTATGGTAGACTTTGCAGAAAATTTGCAGAGGTGATAGACTTGAGCATGAAGGTATTTTGAGATTTCTACATTTTCTTATAAAGGTTTTAGATTTTACTGTCTCTCGTCGGACTGTAACAGACTTTTCAGTCTGCTGTAGAGGAATGTCCGTAACATAATTGACTTTTCTTTTTTTCTTTTTTGCATAAAGGAGGAAGACAATGGTGGTATAGTGCCCTAGGATGAGAATGGAAACGTCTGAGCTGCAGCTTTGATTTTTCCTGAAAGCCTGCATTGTTTGTCTTCATCTAATCCAGCTTTGATGGACATCTCTGGCAGTTGCCTGTACACATGCTCTAATGAAATATTAGGAATGGCTGTACATTGAAAGAGGCCCCATATTATATATCACTGCTGGTAGTATTCATATTTTTTACACACACTGTTTATTGCTTATATGTAGAAGAAATGAAGCTAGTTTTCAGAGTTGTTATTAATATGAATATATATCATGTATTAATGTCGAGACAGGAAAAATACATTTCCAGCATTAGCAGTCCTTCATTTCCTGTCTCCAACAGAAAATCCACTCCTTCGGAGAATAATGTAAGTCTTGATAATAAAATAAGAGTTTTGATTAAAAACAGAATACAGCTTCAAAGTGGAATGTAGAGGATTAGTAAAAATCATATCTCATGTTATTTTCTAGCCCTCACGCCACAGATGATGTCAGGCTGGGTTGTTATTATGGAAAACAGTTTGGAAATGAATGCAAAAACACAATACTCACTTTATATATTTCTGTCTTAGTAGAAGGATTTATTTGAAGAAAAGAATCTAATCATATTTATTTGACATATTAGAAGCTGTGGTTTCTAAGACAAAAAGAAAGTAGGTACCTTGAATAGCTCCTTTTCCATGATAGAAACATAAATTTAATAGTACCCCACCATAATTTTGTGTTGTGCATTTTGTAAGACTTCAAGATATTTTATTCTGTGAATTTCATGTCTTCGGTATATTGAAACATTTCTGTCAAAGGTGGCCAACAGTACATTTTAATTAATTTTAAGTGTTACTGGCAAATCTTAGCATATGTTTATATATATATATAAGTATGTGTGACAGAATGAGATAACTTATGTAAAACAGTAGAGTGCGTGTTGCAAAGCAAGTCCTTAATAAATGTTTATTGTTATAATCACTGTTGTAAAACTAGTAACTTCAAAAACGTAGTCCCGATTTGGAGGGATTGTGTGATGCAAAATATATATGTTAGAAATAGAAATAATGCAGGTGGAATAAGCATGTGCTGAGAGACTTTAGATGTGTTGAGTGTCGGGGGACAGGGAGGTGTGGGAGGTGTAGGGTGGAGCCATGGGCAGGGGGGAGAAAGCACTAGAGCGGCAGCTGAGTGAGGAAGGCGGCATGTTGTGTTGTGTTGTGAAGGGTCAGGCTGTGTGGCTGCCTGGACCACATCAGGGCAGCATGAGGCAGAGCCGCTGAGGGGCAGAAGGGAGAGCCCTGGATTTTTCCTTCCCACGGTTTCTTGCGTGTACACAGAAATGAAGAAATGGCAAAGCCTGCTACACACACTGGCATATTTAAACATTCATATCTTACAGAAAAAAACTGATAAACCACATACTTGCCAAACACCGACTGCAGGTGTGGCCTCCTTTGTAGTCAACATCCAAAGGAAGGCAGACTCCCAGCCCCATCTTGGAGGAGAGGCCCTGGCATGGAGGTTCACGGGTGCCGCCTCTCTGCTCCTGGCACAGTTGGGTTGAGCAGCCAGGGTCTGTTCCTGGACCCAACTTCTGATGCTTCTTGTAGTCTCCAACCTTCTGTCCCTAAAAAACACAAAGTAAACATAACAAAAATGAATTCAAATGACTTTCAAGGTGATACCCAGTTTCCCATATTTTCCCTTTTCCTAATATAAATAAAATTAAGGATTTACATTAATTTGCTGCATATTTTCTGAGTCAAAAGACGAAAATCAGCTACTTGGTTCAACGTGTGGTATCCATTGATTAGATTGTGTGGCAGCTTAATATTCTTTAAGGTGGAAAATCGCTTGTTCCTGCAGCTAATACCTCAGAGTCAGTGGTGCTCTTTTAGGGATAAATGTGAAAGGGCCATCTGTCAATGAATAAAAGTGCAAATAAGTATTATCAGATCTATCCTGTTTTGATGGTGGCTGGGAAAGGAAAGGTATGCAACAGATCCTGAAATAGGGGAAGGAGCTTCCTAAAGCAGAAGTGTGCATATGTTTGGGAATAGGGGGTGGGAGGAGGTAGTTAAGTAGGAATAAATGATAAATTTCAAAGATTGTGACATTTACGATAGATTTTGTTGACCTAACAAAGGAAGAAAGGCGACAAATGGAGGTGCTTTTCCATATGGCTTACACGTCAGAAATCACCTCTGATTCATGGTAATTAAGGGATCCGGTCCTGTGTAAAGTCTCAGAAGTTTTGTCAGTTAAGATAATTGAGCCTTCTCTTTTTCTGTCGGTAAACTTAGCTGAAGGCTTGCCAGTAGTGTAGCTCCTTTCAGAGAACTGACATCTGATTTTGTTGGTTTTCTCTAACTATGTTTCTGTTTTCTATTTCATTCAGTTCTGCCCTGACTTTATTATTTCCTTCCTGCTGCTTGCTTTGGGGTTCATTTGTGATTTTTGATGTATCATAATGTTAAAGGGTAGGCTATTGACTTGAGATCTTTTTGTAATATAGGCATTTCTGGTTATGAATTTTCCTCTAAGCATTGCTTTAGCTGCATCCTATAACTTGTGGTATGTTATATTTTTGTTTTTATCCATCTCAATGTATTTTCTAATTTGCCTTGTGATTTTTTTTTGACCCAATGGTTATGTTGGCACACATTGCTTAATTTCTACCTACTTATGAATTCCCAGGTTTCTGTTATTGATTTATAATTTCCTTGCAAGATCAGAGGACATACTTTGCATGATTTTAATCCTCTTAAATCTACTGAGTCTTGTTTTATGGCCTAGCATATGGTTTATCTTGGATTGTATTCCATGTGCACATAGTAGGACCTCTGCTCTCTGAGTGGGGCTGTGTGGAAGAAGAGGCTCATGACCTCTTTGTGGTTGTCTCCAGAGATTTAGCCTCTGCAGCCTTTTTAATATTCCTTGATTGGGGGCTGATGGGAAAGGGAGCCCCATCTTCTTGGCTGTACCCACCTAGAATGGAGATTTAATCATGTCAACTTTGGGGAGGGGAAGGGAAAGAGTGGGTTTGTGGCTCAAATTCCAACACACTGTTCTTACTGAGATTTAGGAGGTCTTCTTCAGTAAATATTTCCCTGTTTGTTGTATGTCCTTAGGGGAATGTCCAGACACTTTAAAATTATTCTTATTCACCGGTGATATTGTTTACAGGGGGCAGCAAATCTGGGAGCTCCTCACGTTGCCATTCTGGGTGTAGCTCTCCATCCTTTAGGGTAGCGCAGTACTCAAACTGTTAGGCTGCCAGTTCCCTTTTGAAATTTTCACTTGGATAAGCACATTTTTCAAAAATTTGTGTCAAATACCAACATTGTAATAAAGGATAGACTCATGCACTTTTGTAATTTAAAGTTTCTTAAAATGAAAATGAAGTTGACATATCAGGCATTAACTTATTGAGATAATAACTCTGCAATTTTATTTCATCATTTATTTCTCTAATTAATTAAAAGCAATTAATTTGTATGTGCTGATTAATGCTTTTTATGTCTAACTCTTGACTCTTGAAACTTAACCATCTTGAGGACAGTTCATTTTCCTTAGAACTATCCACATTTAGTGGGAAATATTAATATAGCAAATATTGACATGATTAAAAAGCAGCCTCTATTAATTTAATGCAGAATATTATCTTGGGTCATAGTAGAGGGTATGATGAACAGGAAGAGGCATTATACACTGATGATGTAATGCAGCCCCGGAGGACATACTCACAGAGAAGCATTCTCCTCTTTTTTCCTGTTCCTTTCCTCTATTTAGAGTTGTGTGTCTGGCATGAAACTCCTAACAGGCTCGCATTGAGATAATGAGGGTTTAAACTAGAAATTTTTGTGTCATATCAGACTTAGATTACAATTTAATAAGACACACTAAAGTTTTATACATTGAGTCGTACAGGAATACTCATTTAGAGATGATGCTATTGAGTTTTAAGAAACTTTGATTTTTGAAACTTAAGTGGATCTGCATAAACTACTGCCTTGCAATGCTTTTACTCCCCCTCTGGAACACTGTAGTTTCAGTGAGTCAGTAGAACTTAAGAAATTTCTTAGAGCTGTTCCAAAGACCTGAATATGCTTGCTTCATACCTTGGGGGCCTGATTCATTTCCAGAATAACTCTGCTGTACAATTCCTGTGCTTTCAAATTATATTGCAATTTACTCAACCTCAATAGGAATTTTCCTATGAAAATTATATTAGAATCTGGCTCAAAGGTGTATGTGTGTGTGTGTGTGTGTGTATATATGTGTGTGTGTGTATATGTGTGTGTGTGTGTGTATAAAATATATTTTTTAATAAAATGCATATCAAAGTCTATACATTGCATGAAAAACACTTTATCTTTTATAACATAAAGATGCTTCATCTTGACATAAAGAAAATTCACAGTATTATCATAGCACAAGACTGGGATGAAAATGAACTCCTTGCAATTTAAGTCATATTAAGTACATTTCCTTGGAAATATTTTTTGGAACAAATCTTATTTGAGTGAAATAATCTTACTACAAAAACCCCCTATAACATACATGATTTCTTTTCCCTTCTTTCTACTTACATTTAGAAGTTATATTTATAAGGAATAGTTCCAGATAACCAATAAGCACACTTGATGTCCTATTAAAAATTCATATGCACGTTTAGTGAAGACTTATGATGGTTTTGCAGAGAGGGAACGGTAGTCATGGTAGCCAACCCCAGCCTTCAGTTTGGGAAAAACAGGAGCCAGGTTAAAAAAGAAAAAAAAAAAAAGAAAAAAAAGGAAATGTGAATCCAGTTCTCACAGGGAAATTGACCTTCCCAGGAAGAGGAGTTAGTGCTTCTCGAGCACCAAGGGGTGATTTCCTCCTTTGTGTGTGAGGAAATGTCCTAAGCGGCCCTCTGTAGTGAGAGACAAGGAGCAGGCGGGCAGTGCCCTCCAGGGGACAGTGCCTCCCACGTAGGTTAGGATGATTATTGCTGTCAGTCCTTACACAAAGTACACATTGAAAACATCCTGTGGACATTGGTCAGGCATTATTTCTCAGTGCAGTTCTGAGGCGTGGGCTCCGGCCTTGCGTTCTTCTGTCCTCTGGGCCTCCCCGGGAAGATTGGCAGACCCTCCATTGCTAACTCACACTTCATCTTCGGTGGCCTGTAATTTTACCATCTCGTGCATTTGTATTAAATATCTTTAATGATCAAAATCACTGTCTGATGGGAGTTAGTTTAAGGGTTTAAGTCAGAGGAAACTTTTCCTTCTCTTTTTCTAACTTGCCTTTTAAAAAGAGGCCAGCTAGACTGACATAATTAATTTCCAGCGTTCCTGAATTCTGTCCTCCGATTTAGCCACGGGTAACCTTCTTTCCTTTTCTGACCAGAAAGAAAATTGTGTCAAATGTGAGGTGTGGTCAAACCTAGGCACCTGATGAAGAATTATCTTTTATTTTGAATTCCTTCAGGATATTTCCAATGGGTTGCACTACACTCTTAACAAAACAAACTTTTCCCCACAGCATTCGTTCCCACCCTCTCCCTGTGAGGCAGGAACACAAGTAGCAGGAAGCTGTGGTACCTGCCCTCCAGCTGAAATGTGGAAAGAGAGCCACAGTCCAGCCACGCGGAGGGCAACAGCGAAGTGATCTATGATAGGAGGGTGGAAGTGATCTATGATAGGAGGGTGAATCTGTAAGTGCCGAAATGGAAGAAGCCATGAAGACCCCACCAAAGCAGCAGAGAATTTCAATGAGGCCAGACCTCCAGTGCAGCAATGACTGTGGTAGATACACGTCAGTATGGTCTTTGTAGTATCAGTCTTGGAGCAAAATTTTGTGACTAACTCCAGGTTCTTGTGCTCCCATCACGTGAGGGGGCCAGGTGGTGGGGAATTATAGAGGGTCTAGGGTGGGCCGAGTCTGTGTGCAGGCCCTTTAAGAGGATGCTTGGGTTTCCAGCCATCTCCTGGCTCACCTGGAGGGAATCTCCACTGATTG